TGGAGCTGTCATTCAAAAAACCTGTAGCAGATGCCGGAATCACAACAGTTCCTTCTACAGCTTCTACCTTTTGTGGTTTCAAAGCCCCGACGCTGTTAAAAGCAATTCGCACCTTTTTTTTTCTCTTTCTCTTTGCCGCTTAAATCCTTTCTTAAAGATTCTTTGAAATCCTAATCCTGGGGGTATCTTCCATTTGATTATATCGTCCCGTTCCTCCTGCTGTTTGCTTCTTTCTCTCTCTCCTGCACAGTCTTATTCCAGCCTAATCTTCCCCTTCAGGGTGGCCATTTTAGACCACCGCTTCAGATGTTTTTGGGAGGGAGCAATTACCGAGCCGGGGAGGGGATTTGCGACTCCCCTCTACCCAGCTGATGGTCTCCCCTTCCTCCACCACCCCTACGAGGCAGCTTCTGCCCTGAATCCAAAGGATTTGGGCTCTCTGTTGCCGAAGCATGAGCCAAAGCTGCGCACGGTCGCGGTCAGCGGTCCATCTTTGGGGAAGCTCAAAACAGGACAGGTTTTAAAGTAGTGCTTTTGGCAAGCGAGGGGAGCAGGGCGGTGGCATCCCAAGCTCTTTAGCTCCGCAGTGGCGCAGTTTGTGAAATTTGGGTGGGTTCTACACTCCAAGCAACAGGGCAAGGCTTTGGGGAGGGGAGACCAGCCTGGCACTTCTCCGGCCAGCTGGGCAAGGGCTTCAGCACCCAAGGCCACACAGGAAGCGAATGTAGGTGGTGCAGGGCTCTGAAACGCAGCACCTAAAGTTAGCAGTTAGTGACTGGATGGAGATGAAAGGTCCAAGCAGCTTGACACCTAGGAAGAGCAACATGGGATCTATCAATGGGTCAGGGGAAGCCTTGGATAGCATTAGGCCTCCCATGGCTTTCTCCACCCCAAGTTACCTTGTGCAATTACAACCCACGCATTTGATTAGTGAATGCATGGGCTAAAGCAAGGAAGTTTTCACATTCATTTTACTTGATTCACTCCAACAAATCCTCTGGTTACGAATGTAAGGATCTATTACATTCATAACTTGATGATTCCCTCTATATATTTTGCTTCCATACAGGTTTCATTTTGTTGTATCTACATCTTCATTTATCCCCAGTCAAATTGTAGGCCTCAAAAGATTAATATCCTCATCCCCATCTTTTAACTATATTTTATCTTGATTTGGATTTCTGTTTCTAAGATATTTGTTATGATTTTAATATTTTAATGCTGGAAGCCACCCAGAGTCATTCATTCTAAGATGAGGAAAACAAGAGAAAAGAAAGTCCTTGAAAAAGATTTTGTGTGCTACCTGTTTGGCTATTTAGCATTTCCTAATCTTGTGATATTTACAAGTTTTGTTTAAAAAATTGCCAATAACAAATCACTACTTGAAATACTTTGCAGTTTTTATCTACTCTATGCCTGGTTTTGTGTGCAGTATACAAGAAAGGATGCTTTATTCAAGCTGCAAGAGTCCTCTCCTAGAAATTGCAGAAAGGCAGCTGTGGTTACAAATCATTAGAAAGGTAAGACTGTAATTCCAGGCACTCTACCTCTTGACTTGACAGACCCAAGATAAAGTTCTCTGCAGATGATGTCTTTTTTTTTTACAAAAAGAGGAAGAGTTTAAGATAACATTCAGTAGATTTATCATTGGACCCAAATGACTTTTGCAGAGAATAAAAATGGTTGCTACCATGTGCCACAAACATTTTAGCCCAGGAATATTAAGCTATTTCACGTCACTATGAGATAACATTTTCAGTATATGATATCAAATTATTAAACAATTCAGACAGTAGTAGGGTAATTCAACAGTATACTTGATAATACAATTCTCAAATTTTGTTGCATTTTCTGATGTAATACATTAGAGATTTAGGAAATATATTAAGATGTATATTTGTATATGATATATATGATGTAAATATAGATGTAATATATTAAGAGATACAGGGGGAAAAACTTTTAAGCATATAAAAGATTGTCCCTGATGTCATCCATATTCATGTAATTTAGGGCTGTACAAAGTTTTGTGCTTAGGAGCTACAAGTTTTCTTCAAATTATTTTTGGAGGTATTAGGGATGGAGCATTATCACCCTAGTTTATGGAAATCAAATGGGGAAGTCAAAGATAGCTTACTTAAAAGTTTTGTACAACTTTGTTTATTTTCTCACAACAAACAAATCAGAAATAGCAACAATGGTCTGTGATTTATGAATAAATTTTGAAAATGTGGAGGTGAGGGTCCTCTAATTAAAAAAAAAAGATTGCAGACCATGAGTTGCCCACCCAATATAAGTCAGACTGGAGTAGTTTTTAGTCAACCATGTTTCAATGTTGGTCTGTTTGTCAGATAGGCACTTGCCTAATGTATATTAAATTCATAAGTTTTCTGAAAGATGTTTGCCACTGCCATAACCATAGCCATATTTTTTTAATTACTAATCCAGCCTACATCCCCTACCAAGTTTCTGCTAGTGTCTCATCCAATAACCTGATCTATACCTGTTAGCTTTTGGATATCAGCTGAGCTAGACATTATTTGACAATGCTTTCAATATGGAGGAATAAAATCCTTCACAGCAGGATATGGAGTTCTTGTACTTTCCTTCATTAGGGGGTGGCTTAATTATACAAGCTAATAAATTTTAAAGATACTATATGGAATTGGGTATCTTTAAATTCACTGATTTTAGTAGCTGTAGGAGTATTTCATTACACTCACTAGACTGTAAGTTTATCCTTTTAAAACTATCAAATCTAACTGCAATAAAATAATCCTGAAATGCTAAGAAAATTCAGCATTTCTTATAATTACATACGTATATACATACATTACATACATACACAGTACATATATGAAAATAATGCTTTAAATGGTCATAGGTGGCTTTGCTGAGTTCAACTATTAGGTGACAGATTTGATAAGATTTTTAAAGTATATAAAGTGGTCAGTTCAAGATTTATATCTTTAATAGTTATATGTATGCTGGATGGAGCCTTTCTCAAACTTGGATTGTTATCTCCCCCTTTCATGACAGATTGAAATAGATGATGGAGATGAACTAACTGCTGAATTTCTCTATGAAGAAGTCCATCCCAAACAACACGCGCACAAACAAAATTTTGCTAAGCCAAAAGGACCTGTAGGAAAAAGAGGAATCCGAAGGTTGATCCGAGATCCAGTTGAAACTGAAACACCTATTGACTAGACATTTATTGGGTAGAAAAGCAAAGCAGCATAATAGGAGGGAGTGGAAGAGTATGAATGCGTATGAATCTTTATAATGAACTGCAAGCATTCTGTGTTGTTTTCCAATGGAAAATAAGTTACTTTCTATTGCACTTACCTGGCTATACCACTATAGATCTTATAAGGTCCAAAGACTGTGCTTGTAGTGTATGTGTTCAAAAGAAAAATACAACTTTGAAGAATATTTTGTCCTAAAAATCTTAACTCTTACTTTTATAATAGACACATGGCTATTCTTCATTCTCTCTTAGTAACTTCATAAAATGTACTTCAATCATTTACCTTGTGTATCTTAAGTAGACTATGTCTCTAAAAATGATAAAGAATAAGCCTTGCTTCTTTTCATAATTTCTTTGCTCCTATTCTCCAGGCTTGTATGTACATTTTGTACCACAGCTAAAATGCTTAGAGCAAGTTCCAGTAATTTGGAATGTACAAGACCAGTTTATTTGCTATAGGAATGCAACTCTAGTTTTCATATAACTGAATAACAATGCATTTATTGTTTTTCTGAAAGAGCAATTTTTTCAAAAATTCTGACTTACAAATTTTATTTCTGCTTAAGGAAGAAAATACTATTCATTAGGATGATTCTGTCATCAATATGCTATTAAAGAACACAATACACTTTCCTATTCTCAGTAAATGAATTCAGTTTCTCTACAAAAATTGATACTTTGTCAGTTAGTTCAACACTATTAAGCAAGAAAAAATGTGAGTCCTAATGCATTTCTAGTATCTTAAGAAAACAAAAAATTATCATTGTTTCCAAGTGTCTCAAATTGTGAAACTAATTGTGATTAAGTTCAAACAAATCCTTTGATTCTACAGAACATTGTTCCTGTAAGCAATCTTTCTTATTAGTGATTTCCAGATAAAGGAACATACATACATGCCCATTAAAGCCCCAAACTTATTATAGAGGGCCAAATTCACAAAGTATCCATTCAAAATAAAAACATTGATTAATGTAATCTTAATGTATGGGTTGCTTATAGGAAGTAATGCTCCTATATCCATTGGCTTTTGCTTCCTTGTAAATATGCAGGTTTTATATTTATTAAATAAGCATTTTATATGCAATGAATGTGAGAAATGTGTAAGCTATATGTTTCTAGAGATTAATTTGTTAATTTCAAATTCCAATTTCTTTTCTCTCCTTGTCCCTATATAAAATGTATATCAATAAATTCAGTAAATTGATTTTTATTTTATTTTATTTATTTATTTATTTTGTCAAACCATTATTAGATAACAGGTATAAGTATAAACATGGTTATAAATACATGAAATGGATATGAATAAGAAAAAAAAAGAAACAATAGAACAGGGATGGTAGGCACGTTTTGGTGCGCTTATGCACGCCCTCTACAGACCTCTTAGGAAAGGTCAATAGTAGACAGTCTAATGTTGAAGATTTTGGGGTTTGGGGAAGAAACCACAGAGTCAGGTAGGGTATTCCAGACATTGACTACTCTGTTGCTGAAGTCGTATTTCCTGCAATCAAGTTTGGTGTGATTTATCTTTAGTTTGCATATATTTTGTGCTCTTGTATTGTTTTGGTTGAACCTGAAGTATTCATTGATAAATAGGACATTGCAATATATAATTTTATATACTATACTTAGATTGAACCGAAAGCGGCACAGTTCTAGGTTGTCTAGGTCTAAAATTTCAAGTCTGGTGGCATAAGGTATTCTGCTATGAGTAGAGAAGTGGAGGATTCTTCTCGTAAAATATTTCTGGACTTTCTCAATTGTATTATCAGATATGTAATGCGGGTTCCAGACTGATGAGCTGTATTCAAGTATTGGTCTAGCAAATGTTTTATATGCTCTAGTTAGTAGCGTGATATTACCGAAGAAAAAGCTATGCAGGATTAGGTTAACAACTCTTAATGCCTTTTTGGCTATGTAGTTACAGTGGGCTCTAGCACTTCGATCATTTGAGATGAGTACTCCAAGGTCTTTGACAAAGTTTTTGTCATCAACAAAGTCTTGACTATTCAGCTTTTTTTTTTTTTTTTTTGCCAATATGTAAGATAGAGCATTTATTTGTTGAGATTTGAAGTTGCCATTTGTTTGACCATTCTGATACATAGTCGAGGTCTTTTTGAAGGGTAGCAGCATTGTCAGTGGTGTTGAATAGCTTTACATCATCAGCGAAAAGAACGCAGTTGCTCTTAATACAATCACAGAGGTCATTAATATAGAGAATGAAGAGAGTTGGTCCTAGAACACTGCCTTGGGGGACACCACTGTTGACAGGTACAGGATTTGATAGGACACTCCCAATTTTGACCTTTTGTTGCCTGTTTGACAGGAATGCTTCTACCCAGTTATGCAGGTATCCAGAGATACCATAAGACCTTAGTTTTAGGAGTAGTTTGTCGTGTACCACTAAATCTAAGGCTTTACAGAAGTCTATGTAAATTGCGTCAATTGCTTTGCCCTGATCGAGTTGTGTAGTCCGTATGTTTTTACAGTGCAAGAGTTGCAGGTTACAGGACAGATTAATAAATAAGGTTTAATTTGAATGAAGAGAGAATCATTTGTGAATCAGCACTGATGCTCTCCTCATTTTAAACACGTGCTTGGTGATAAAATAGATTTTCAGTTAATTTATAAAACTAGTTCTGTAGAAAACAAACTGCCAATATTTCTGCAGTTTTTCACAGTATATGCTGTGGAATGCAACATTACAGTTTCAATGACAATAGAGTCAATTATTACTTAATAATAGTGACAGGGTTGTTTATTTTTCTAATAACATACCTTATACTTTAGGGTTTTTTGCCCATAATAATTACCGGTATTCAAAAACGGCATCAGCTAGAAAAAAGGGAAGTGTAGTAACTGATCCAAAGCAAATAAAGATTGCTTGTAAAGCAAAAAATACTCGTCTTCCATGAAAATAAGCAGTTTTGAATTCATTACTTTATTTCCTAATAATTGTGCATTTCATTTCACAATAAACTGATTAATTAGTGACTGAAAAGGTGCTTGCTATTGTATTCTTTAAAAATGCATAACGTGGTATAGGAAGAAAGGTAAGCTCAATTGTGCAATCATTATAAATAGTTAAATAATTAAATAGATGAGTGCTTAAGGATGTGAATGAGGAAAATAATACCTGCCCGCTGTCAGCCTTCCAAGTAACATGTCCCCTGAGTAAAGACCCAAGGCTTTAAATAAAGATCTTTCTTTAAAGTCTGTTTATTAGGAACATATCAAATTGGAAAGGATCTGATGTAATTCTGACTCTGGCTAGATCCTGGAATTACACCCAATAAAAGCAAAAATGTGAAACTCTTCACCACCACCACCACCCCCGTCACAATCTCCAATCAATTCACAGTCCTATCAGTCTGGTGACTCCAAACTCCACTTTCCTCCAGCTGTAGGCATCTTCTCTGTTCTCACGGGAATTCCAGGAGCTCCTTGTAGTCCAAATGGCATCGCCCTGAAGTGGAAGTGTCCTAAGGGGCAATTAAAAGCAGTTTTCCACTCATCTCTTTCTTTTATCCGCACTCGGTAGTGTGCCTCTTGGAGATCGAGTTTAGTAATACTTTTTCTTTTGCCGGGTGCCTCAGTGTATCTTTCATGAGGGGCAAAGGATAGTTATTGTGTATGCACACAGCATTAATTCCTTTAAAATCCACGCAGAGCCTCATCCCCCCATCTTTCTTTTCCTTGAATAACATGGCAGCTACCTTGGATGTTGCTGGCTGTATAAAACCTCTAGCCAGGTTGGTATCAATGTACTGCCTTAGTTCCCTCATTTCTCTGGGAGTCATGGAATACATTCTGGGTTTAGGTAACTTTGCCCCTTCCACAAACACTATCACACATGGTTGGAAAAAATGATAAAACAACACATAAACTTTAAAGCTGAGATATTCTTATTGGGAATTATACTGGAAATATACAGTAAAGAATTTAAATATTTGATTGTAAATGTTTTAACAGCGGCTAGAATTGTATTTGCTAAGAATTGGAAAAATGAAAAAATACCTATGCAGGATGAAATTATTAAGAAAATCATGGACTGTGCCGAAATGAGTAAATTGACATTTGAAATTAGAGAACAAGAAGACAAAGAATTTTATATGATATGGGATTTATTTTATCAATGGTTAGATAAAAAGACATGGTAAAGAAATAGATTAGGAAGCTTTACAATAAAAGTTAATAGATATAGAATACAATATAAAATATATAACCATTGGATGAATGTATAAGATTAAACCATAATGAAATTTAGAATATTTCGTATAGAATGATGGAAAAATAGTTTAGTCAAATGAATGATTAATAATTGATATTACATAAGTACATGTTAGATTGATAAGGTGAGAATTTATACAACTTGCGAGTAATGGTAAAAAAAAAGGATAGCACAAAAGATTGTAACCAACTGACACACTGTATGTATATAATTGAAAGATGGCTTTATGTTTTTATGTTTTGTTTGTATGTTTGTTGTAAAAAATAAAAAACTTTACAAAAAAATAATCCGTCCAAATTAAATCCAATAGTCCAAGTCCAAATTACTCCACTAGATTCCTCCAGTCTTTCAAATCCACAATCCAATAGCCAAATTTAATTAAGTTTAGTTATTTGCAAATTAGTTTCTTTTATAAATCTTCCAAAAGACAAGAAAAAAAGCCTCAGTAAATGTTCTCAAATTATCCAAGTTGTCAACAGTAGAGTCAAGGTCAGGCCATCCTCCAGATGTTATTGCTTCTATTAGGCTTTGCCTATTAGGCTTTGTGTGTATTGAAATAACTTTCACTAAGCATGCTGTGGATTAGTACTTGTCTTCTTCCAGTAGATGGCTCTCTTATCCAAAAGCCAATGTTGAATAGTCTGTCAAAAGCAGCTGATTTTCCGATTAAATCCAGGGGGTTTAAAAATACAAATAAACCAGATAAATTCTCCCAGAAATTGCTTTTCAGATTATTTGAGATTTTTCCAAGCTTTCTATATTTTATTAGCTTCTATTGGGCTTCTTTTGTCTCTTTGTTCTCAGTTTTTTTTCTCTGTGTGTCAATTCGCCACTATCTTAAGCTTAGGAATTACCTTTTAATATTCTTGTAGTTACTTCAAATCTTTAGGGTAAAAGTAATTATCTCACCCAGTTTCAATGCTCTGTCCATACACTGCCCCAGCACAAATATTGTGGTCCCAGTTGTCCCAGCTTCGTGACTGCCAAAAATGGCAGTTATGCCTGCTGTTTGGAGAGACCTAACGGGGAAATTGTGGGTTTATTGTGGTCAGTGAAGTGCCTCTCCTTCCTTCACCGCTCCTCCAAGGCAGCTATGACCCCGTAGGGTATCCCAACAGAGGTTACCAGCTGGATTTTGTGGGGCTCAGCAGAGCCCTCTATTTTCCAGCCGTTCTCGCCGCGACATCAACCGGAACTATCAGGATAACAATCCTTGAGTTAATACTATAATCCTTATAATAAACCTTTACTAGGATCCTTTTAATAAACTTTGTGATATAATCCATAAATAATAAGGCTCTCGCCTACTTTAGCATCAAACCTACAATGAAACTTTTGCTAGGCTAAAATGAAGCAAATAAAGACAGTTTCCTCTCAGCTATCCATTCAAAGCAAATCTTCCAATACTGAAGAGTCTTGATAGCTTCTCCAACCTCAAACCATTTTTTTTCATTCTTAGCAATCAAAGTTGCTAAGCAAAGTTACATAAGATTATAGTAAAAACTGACTCTAAAGGTGAAATTAATTTAAGAAACCGTTTTAAGAAATATGCTAAGGAAAACCAGCCTAGAAAAGAGACAATGTTTTTGAAAATAAATTATATTTGGTTTAGAATATATAATAGAAACATACATGATTTTAAAAATACAAGATTATATAATCTTTGTTGCAGATATCATTTTGGTATTCCTGAATACATTTTTATCACTATATTGTAGATCCTAATTTATGAATAGATAGAAGGGCCACAAACCTTACTGTGTTCATTTAAAAAAATACTGATTAACCATCATAGAGGAACACAAATATTCAAGTCAGGATATAAAAACAGGTTTATTTAAACATCAAGTTAAGATACAGAACTGACCTTATCCGATCAACATTTCTTTTAAATGTTCTTTGACCTGAAACAGAAGAAATATAAAATTATGCTGGCAGATTTAAAAAGTGTGTGTGTGTGTGTGTGTGTTGCATCACTATATTTAAAATTGGTACCCTTTCAATATCTGGCCTCCGGTTCTTCTTCTCATGCAGACACGGGGAAGCAATTAAATACATTTGTTCAATCAAGGTGATGTTCCAATTGCTGATTTTTTTATCAACATAATCTTCAATAGTCTTTTCTTCATCTTCAATTTCCTCTTTGATGGACAGCTGATTGGAGCAGCAAAGTATGAGAATAATATTACTTCATAATATAGGAATTCCATAGGGAAGGAAGAAAAACAAATTGTTCTTGTGAATTGATTAAAAGGAATAAAGCAAGCGCGGGTTGTATGGTAGGATGGGGCAATGGGAGAGGTCATCTGTTTGTATCACCCTATCTATAGGTCATCTTGTACATTCATTCCAAGAAGGGCTGTTGAGTGCTCCTACCCTATGAGGTTAAAGGAGTAGGAATCCCTATATTATAGAATGCAAATAACAGATTTCCATGTTATGTTTTGCTTACATCCTGATAAAACTTTTTCTATCCTAATTTTCACAGTGTTACAGTTCCCATCTTCTGGAGGAATATTTTGAAGTTAAATAGACAATTATATTTCAATCACATCAAACATTTGGTTATCTGAACTTGCACATTCTTATGATACTGAGAATAGATTACACTGGAAGGGACCTTGGAGGTCTTTAGTTCAGGCCCCTGTTCAAGCAATACCAATTTAGATAAGTGACTGCCTGGACCAGAGGTCGCCAACCGGTGGTCCGCAGACTACTGCTGGTCCACGAGAAAGTTTTGGTAGTCCGCAGCACACCTGTGTCTGCAACAGGGATGATACCAGTGGCGGATGGACTGATGCGCGCGGGGAGGGTAATGCGCAGGAGATCAAGGCATTGGAGCCCTTCCCGGGTGTTCCCTAGCCTGAGGGGGGGGGGGGGGGAGGAACCCCCGGACGGGGTTTCCCCCCCTCCCTCTGCGCATTGGGGAGGCCGAGCGGCTGCCAGCGATGCCCTCAGGTGAAGATGTTGCGAGGGGGATGCACGACCCTTCCCCTCAGGAGCCACAAAGTGCTCATCACCCCTCTGGCATCCGCCAAGACTCCTCCCACCGTGCTTCTCTTCACCAGAAGTGCTCACACACAGAGGGAAGGAGGCAGCTTGGCAGATGCCAAAGGGGTGGTGAGCGCTTTGCAGCTCCTGAGGGGAGGGGTCGAGCCTCCCCTTCACAACATCTTCACCTGAGGGCATCACTGGCAGACACTCGGCCTCCTCAATACACGGAAGTAGGATGCAACACCAGTTAAGTGGTTCCTTTCCCCCCACCCCCTCACAGGCCAGGGAACACCTGGGAAGGGCTCCAATGCCGCGAGCTCCTGTGCGCTACCCTCCCTCCCTGCGAGCATCAGTCCATCCGCCACGAGTATCACCCATTTCCCACTCCCTGCCAGCCATCTGGTCTTCAGCAGGAGGCTCATCGGCCTCCGGACATCAGATTCCCAGCACCCAGCACCAGTTCAGAGGTTCCTTTCCCCGCACCTCTAACCCCAGGGACAGAGAGAGGGGGGGAAGAGAGAAAGGGAGAAAGAGGGGGAGGGAAAGAGAGATATGAGAGAGAGAGAGAGAGAGAGAGAGAGAGAGAGAGAGAGAGAGATGAGAGATCCTGGTGTTTTGTTTTCTGTGGGAAACGGGTCCAAATGACTCTGAGTATTTAAGGTTGCAGAAATAGGCAGCCAAGCTAAGTGCCTGAAGGATTCCATCCCGTCAGTCCAGGCACTTCAGCGAGCGGCGCACTGGATTCGTATTAGTGGTCTGCAGGATTTAAAATTATGAGTTTGGTGGTCCCTGATGTCCAAAAGGTTGGCGACCCCTGGCCTAGATTCTTCTTAAAAACATCCAGTGATGGAACACCCACAATTTCTGTTCCACTGGTTAATTGTCTTCACTGTTAGGAAGCTTCTTCTCAATTCCAAGTTGCTACTCTCTTCGATTAGTTTCCAATCACTTAACATCATAATTTTTACTGATAAGAAATTACTATCTCCAATTAAGATAATGCCCACAGTGCCACAAGGTTCCGTCTTAGGCCCAGTACTCTTCAATATCTTCAGTAACGAATTAGATGAGGGAATAGAAGGAGAACTTACCAAATTTGCAGATGATACCAAACTGGCAGCAATAGCTAACATCCAAGAAGATAGGCTCAAGATACAGATGGATCTTGACAGACTAGAACACTGGGCCGTATCTAACAAAATGAAATTCAATGTAGAGAAAAGTCCTACACTTAGGCAAGAAAAACCAAAAGTACACATATAGACTGGGTGAAGCCAGGCTCAATAGCAGTAACTGTGAAAGGGATCTTGGAGTCTTAGTGGACAACCAGCTAAATATGAGCCAGCAGTGTGCAGCAGCCGCCAAAAAAGCTAATGCAATCCTAAGTTGTATTAACAGAGGGATACGATCAAGGGAAGTACTAATACCACTCTATAAAGCCTTAGTAAGACCACACCTAGAGTACTGCATCCAGTTTTGTTCACATTATAAAAAAGATATTGAGACTCTAGAAAAAGTACAGAGAAGAGCAACCAGGATGATTAGGGGACTGGAGGCTAAAACATACAATGAACAGTTGCAGGAACTGGGCCTGGCTAGACTAGTAAAGAGAAGGACCAGGGGAGACATGATAGCAGTCTTCCAATATTTGAGGGACTGCCACAGGGAAGAAGAGGTCAAGCTATTTTCTAAAGCGCCTGTAGGCCAGACAAGGAATGGATGGAAACTGAACAAGGAGAGATTTAACCTGGAAATAAGGAGAAACTTTCTGACAGTGAGAACAATCAACCAATGGAACAGCTTGCCCTCGGAAGTTGTGGGAGTGCCATCACTTGAGACTTTCAAGAAGAGATTGGACTGCCATTTGTCAGAAATGGTGTAGGGTCTCCCACTTGGGCAGGGGGTTGGACTAGATGACCTACAAGGTCCCTTCCAACTCTGATTATCTGTTATTATTCATTGATTCATATTCAGATACTTCTTCAGTTTCCAAAAGGAATCAAGAAACTGCTTTATTCTATGACTTGATACTTCTGGTATTACCAAAGAATTCATAGAAACAAACTGTCACACTAGTTTTTATACTTACATCGATCTAACTTTAAAATAAACCAGCATAAGGACAAGAGTATTCTTTTTAATTCTCCAATACTGATATTACAAATATTTGTTGATCACTTCAATGATCACCCTGAATTCTGTTTTAACTATAACTTGTTAAATAAGCCACAAGCAAATCATAATACAGCTTAGGGCAATATGTGAATTTGGCAAATGTTAGCTTCTACCAGAATCTGCCAAACCAACCGAAACAGTAGACCAGCCTTCCTTAGCCTTGTGCCCTCCAAAGATGCTAAACTTCAGCTGGCATGGCACTGGCATAGCACTGAAACTGACAAATGAAACTATATATATATATATATATAAAAACATACTAGTAACTGGGGATCCCGATTTTCATCCATAGGACTAAGCCCAGTTATTATTTCAAGTAATACCTGGAAACAGATGAAAATTAATAAGTGAAATACGTGTCACAAGTTTTCATCAAATATCACTGTACAATAATCAATATAAAAAGGTAACTATTTTATTTCATGAGGGACACTCAGTTACTTTAGCAGCAAAGTGAGCAAGCTTTTATACAATTCCATAAAGATCAAAAAGTGTACTAATGAATAGATGTACAAACTGCATTTTCAAAATCTCTGTCTGGCTATCACTAGACATAGGATTACATCAGAAACTTTCCAAATTCAGCATTTTATAGAGTGGGATTTGAAGCCTTTTCACTATTAACAAATATTTAAATAAGTAATATCTGATAACTACCTGAAAAAGAAATAGATATTATTGGACTACTGTATCCCCTCTGATCACTAGGAGTCTGGCTCTTAAGAAAAACTCTGGCTTAAGATAAAATAATGGGCAATTCCCACTAAATCCCATTCATAACTTTCTTCGTGAAGAAAAATGAAGTCTGTCTTCAAAAGCAGAGCAATTCAACAACAATTGAGACACTGGCATTACAGGAAACTTGGGAGTTAAATTCAGTTGTGCATTGGACGATCCCAAAGTTGGAAAACAAGGTACAGTTTGTAAGCTAACAATTTTTCATTAGGCAAGATGGTTTAAGAAACAGAAAGAGAGCAGAAAAGGAAAATAACCCTCATTTATTATTTATTTTTAAAAATAGCAACTTACCACGCCAAAACTGAAGATATCCGATTTAGGAGTTATCTCTCCTCTTAATGCCTCTGGAGCCATATAAGCTGCTGTCCCAACTATTCTATCTGTTAGAATAGTGTGTGTAAATTTTACCGATGCCCTTGCAAGCCCAAAGTCAGAAAGTTTTGGCACAAATGATTCTGTTAGTAAGATATTTGCACTGGGGAAAAAAACAGTAAGCTAAAAGTTATTGTGATGACCCATAGTCTCTCAAAATAACCCAAAACCCCAAACATACGTTAAAGACCGGTAAGGCTTTCAACTTAACTTCACTGTTTTATTAGGCACAGTTTAAAGTCACAAAAGTAAATAATGAGGCAAACAAAAAACCAAAACAAACCGCATTGATGAGAGTTCTGAAGCAAGCCAAGATAACTAATCATAAACTCCAGGAAAATAACCGAGGAGAGTCCATGGGAAGAACGCCAGCAAAGATAAACCTCTTTCAAGGTAAACACTAAACTTTGACTCCAGCAATTCTAACTGTGTAGTTACAAACTTATATACATAGTTCCCACCTGCAAGCCACGAGAAGGATCATGGTAATCTCCTCTTGAGTAGACTTCGCTTTTCCCTGATCCTCTCCTCCCTGTGGGACCTAGGATGGATAGGGGATGGGCCTGGATCCTCCTCTGACTGCTCTGCCGGCCTCTGCCCTCTACTTCTTTCAAGGTAAACACTAAACTTTGACTCCAGCAATTCTAACTGCATAGTTACAAAGTTATATACATAGCTCCCAGCTGCAAGCCACGAGGAGGATCATGGTAATCTCCTCTTGAGTAGACCTCGCTTTTCCCTGATCCTCTCCTCCCTGCGTGACTTAGGATGGATAGGGGATGGACCTGGGTCCTCCTCTGACTGCTCAGCCGGCCTCTGCCCTTCCCCAGCCTCCTCCACCACCTCTGGAGCCACACTCCCACTCCCTGTCGGCTGTTCCTCCTCTTCCTCAGAGTCAGTCTCCACCAGGGGCATGAGAGTTATGTTTTGCCCTCTTCCTGAAAGAGGGGCAATATATCAAACAGAAATAACAGCTGGTGGAATCCAAATGGTGGGGAACCTGTCTGGAACTCAGTTCACAAGGAACTCAAAGGAAAAGGGTAAATCTTATAGCCCTTTTTATCCCACTCCACCACCCTTTAGAATGCTTTATACAGGAATTAATTTTACAGATTCTACCTTTTAATATCTCGATGAATGTGGTTATTTTCATGCAAGAAAGAGATTCCATTTGATGCCCCGTACGCAATGTTGCATCTTGTTTTCCATGGTATTGGTGAAGAGTTGTCCTTTATAAACAGGGAGAATAGAAAAGTTTCAGCACTTTATTGGGATCACTTATTTTATTCAATAAAATTAAAGTAACAAAAGAAGAAAAACAAAGTTGAGAGCAGTTCCATTCCCAAGATCAATTAAAGCTACAATAACTTCTGATAATTTTTTTTCAAGATAAGTTGCAGTTTATAATAAATTTGGATCTTATTTTTTCATGTCACCAATTCCATGAAATGAAAGGTCATATTTGGCAATTTGGAAAAGAAGTATATCTCTATCTCATTTTTATATTTAAATATCAGCTGTCGTGAATATATCTCATTTTAGAGATTTCTGTTTTATAAAAAGTGCACTGTCTATAAATTAACACCGTAAATCACTCCTTTCATATCTGCTGAGGCTGATCATTAGTAATTTCTGTATGATTCTTATAAACAGAATATACAGTTATTAACATCTTATATCTTAACAAAGCAAAGCCTTTTGGCACTGAAAACTCTCCAATATTAACTTATACACTTAAAATTCCTAACTGGTTATTTATAATTATAAACTCCAATCTTTAAAGTTTATCCTTAATTTGTTCAATTGGTATTAGCAAGATTAGTAGTCACTAGTCAAAGAAAACTGTTCATGTTATAATGAACTTTTTGACTACAGAATTTATGAATTACAATACAGGTAGTCCTCAAGTTACAACTATAATTGAGGCCAAAATTTATGTTGATAAGTGAGACGTTTGTTAAGTTAAATTTGCCCCATTTTATTACCATTCTTGCTTCGGTTGTTAAGTGAATCACTGAAGTTGATATGTTAGTAATTGGTAGTTAAATGAATCTGGCTTCCCCATTGATTTTGCTTGTCAAAAGGTCACAAAAGTTGATCATGTGATCTTGGGACATAGCAATGGTCATAAATATGAACCAGTTGCCAAACATCTGAATTTTGATCACATGACCATGGGGTTGCTGGAATGGTTGTAACTGTGAAAAATGGTCATGTCATTTTTTTCAGTGCCATTGTTAACTTTGAATGGTCACTAAACAAACTGTTGTAAGTCAAGAACTACCTGTATTTTATAGCCAGTAAAAGAAAATTTGGAAATACATTAAAAAGTCTACTTTAGGAAAAACAATAAAACATACTTTAGCATTACATGAATAATATGGCTAAGATACATACTTTTCCCATTAATTCAAATAACACTGAATGAAGAGCAGAACTCTATTAAAGTTTTTTATGCCTTAAAGTACTATGTTTTTCCAACAGACGCTATACTTTAAGCTAAGAACATTTTGCTCCTATTCAGGCACAACAATCTCTATTTTTAAAGATAGTGAAACATCTGATATACTCATTTTAGCTGTACTAAATAACACTTGTAACACTTTAACATTATGTCTTCAAAGGCTACAGATTTTTCTGAAATCTTGAATTGATTCATAAAACATTTATTACTAATTCAAACACGAATTAATCTTATGTAGAGAAATGTTACAATATTAAACAAGTTTTTCTAAAAAAAATAATCGAGAAATACTTGACAATGTACTAGAAAAACAATCTTAATAAGCCGTATGATTTCTGGTTTTCATTGTTAAATTTTTAAAAAGTTAAATATTTAAAAAGCATGATCCTGCAAGTTTTATACATTTAGACCTGAATACTAAAGAAAGCACTTACCAGGCAAGCTAATCTATCAAGCAAGGACCCCTTGGGCATATAATCATATACTAAGCAAGGCTGATCAAAATCATTTGAAAAACCAAGCAATTCTACTAAGTTTTCATGTTGGCATCTGTAGACAAAAATAGATACGTTTTATATTGTTGGGGTTTTTCTGTTTTTCAATATGTACCATTCTGAAAAACAAAAGAGATCTAAGCTACTTCTAGCTTTGACTATAAATTAACTATGTAGTGTAGAAACTGATTCAATGCCTTCAATGACCGATCTCGTATTTTCTACACAAAATATTCTGTTAATTTCTATAGGTAGACTTTGAAATATTCCTTTCCAAAAATCTGATAGTCAATATTTTGAATACTGAGCACCAAATTAAACATAATACTCAAGTTTTCAACTCTACCAGCGCCACCAAGTGTTAGTTAATCAGATTGGTAGGGGAGAAATAAAAGCTGAATCATCTTGCTTCTACTTTGGGCCTCCCACTTTTGAGAGGATTTTTGTTTTTAAAAATTGCATGACAGTTGTTAAGATATGAATGCCACCTGTCCCATCTGGCCTGAGTTAGGGCAATCACTGGTCTAACTAGATACAAAGTAGTGTGGTACTTTTTAAAAACCTAAAAATTGGATATTTATATGTAGGATATTTATATATATAAAATCAAAAACAAATGTTTATTTTAACACATAAATGACCTAAAAAAAATCCATGAAACTTCAAAGGTTATAAAGAGCAAATTTCATTGCAATTAGTGACAACTACTTTTTAGTTCATATATTCAGAATAGGTCACAGTAATTATGCAAAGAAAGCTACCTAAACATAAAAAATTTGTACATAAAAATAATTGGGAATATGTTCTTGCAAATGAACAGTTCAGATCAGCAAAATAGATGACTTCTGAAGAAGTCATAACACAAATCATGTTTATTTCTACAGAAATTTCCTCTCATGCTAGAACTGAAACCGAAGTTCCCTTCAGCTATCTCATGTTTAATTTTTAAATTTTTTTTAAAAGCTATGGCCTTGCACAATGCTAGTCCCTTTCCCAAAAGAGATGGCCATTCTATGCGTATAGTTGTATTAGTGATATTAAAGTACATGGAAATTAAAAAGAAATTTTAGAATTACAACTTAACTGCTTTGATTGCTATATCAACATTTTCCTAAGCTACTTCACTGGAGTAATATTATCAGTAATTATTTTCCTAGTTTCTAATGCACCTTAAATTCCACAATTTGCAACTAGAAGAAATATCTAATACTTCTACATATTTTCAACCAAGATTTCAATTTTAGTACTAAGACCAAATAAAAAAACACTAGCAATTTATTCCAGATATATATTGCAACAATATTTTAGCAACACTTACTACTTACTTTGCCATAATCTTTATTTCTTGCTCAAATTGCTTTTTCAGGTCTTCGATACATATATTAGCCAACTACAATAAAATAAAAATAAAAGTACATGTGGTTAATAGAAAAGATACTTATTTTTGCAGAGCCCTATTATGGTTAGTTCACACATGCTATGCCTTGATTTCATTACCTAAGAGAAAGTGAATAAACTGCAATTATCTGGGTTCATATCCTGTATTGGCCGGAAACATGGCCTATTATTCATGATATTTGGTTTAAATAGTGTTGGAAGAAATATCCTTCTGGGTTCAGTTCCAAGTGGGAAAAAAGACACCGGATTCATGGAAGTTGCTTGGAAAGAAGGTTTAATGGTGGACAGGACCACATGCCTTGGAGCTCCTCAGTGAAAAGGGAAGAGATGTTGAGAATCCCTTAGTTTTATACGCTCTGTTGGGCCCCACCTTAGTGTTTCCTGTTCCTGTGTAAGAAATATATCCCATTGGCTGTCAGACTCCCAGGGACAGGGCTCTTAGCTAACTTTGTAGACTTTGTCTGGACCACATGGCTTCACTTGAGTGCTGGCTGATGCAATCTTCCCAGGCCATGTGGTGAGATGAGTAGAGGGCTTTGTTATGTAGAATACTCTGTCCCCGGCCCGCCCATTAACAAAGGTGGGGGTGAGCTTCTGCTTCTGATGTGAGTTTCTGCTTCTGAGTTTCTACTTCTCTTTTTAGGGGAAATATTCTGCCTTTTTAGTATGTCCCCAAACATTTCATTTTCCTAGGACGGGTGGGTGGTAACTTCCTACAATAGGAAATCAAATCAAAGGGAAACGCTCTAGCTAATGAGGGACTTCTAAAAATGCTTTATGATTCAGCATGTTATATGAGTTCATCAGCTTTATGATTGTGGCTGATTTAAATATCCACTGTTGTATTTCAACATGTTGTGAACAAAACAAATCATTATGTTCTCAGAACCAGTAAATACCTGAATTTCTACTTGTACCAGCCTTATTTTGTCATGCCTAAAATGTTTGTAGAACAGTAAATGGAAGGATTTTGCCATAAGTAAAGTTTTCTACACAGGATTATTAAAATCTGTAAGTAACTCAAAAATTTCTGAAGTATAATTATTTGAAATAATTATTTGAAATTATCTGACTTGTTAAAGAGTTTTGCTCTTGTTCTAATTTTTCTATTAGATACTATAAATGTAGTGGAAAGGTAGCATAGAATTGTTATTACTGCATGATTTTCTGGTCTCCTTTTATTACATAATTATTTAAATTAAATAGGCAACATAGGATAAATCAAAGATTACTATTAGCAAAATAACTGAAAACCTACAGCTGAAAGTTTTTTAACTGCCACTGTTTGGCCGTTGATGCATCCTTTGTAAACCACTCCAAAGCCTCCTTCGCCAATCTTGTTGCCACCAGCTGACACAGTTCTGTCATCAAAGTTATTTGTGATACTTTTCAGCTCATAAAACAAGAACTTTTTGAATCCTGGGCAGAAGCGAGGAGGCAGGAAGAACAAGGTTGAGTGCAAATCACAAAACCATTTTAAGCATGGAAATCTTACAATAAAAACTCTACATTTATTTACATATTATAAATCACATGTTGTCCCAGTGCTATGCCATGGCATATAGCAGTGATAGTGAACCTATGGCATGCGTGCCAAAAGTGGTATGCAGAGCCATCTCTCCAGGCACTCCAGCTGTCACCTGTTGCTCTTTTGGGTTGCAACGCATGCATGCCAGCCAGCTGGTCTTTGCATGTGCAGGAGCGCCGGAAACTGGAAAAAAGCTCCCCGGCACTCATGCGTGCATGGGAGCACCAGAAACCAGGAGAGCAGCTCCCTGGCATGTATGTGTGCGCTGGCCAGCTGGTTTTCACGCACACATGCGTGTTAGAAACCGGAAGACCAGGTGGCTGGCGTGCATGTGCATGCCAGGAAGCTGAGCTTCCATTTTCCGGTGTTCCTGTGCGGCGTGCCAGGGAGCTGTTCTTCTGGTTTCCAGCACGCAGGATGCCAAAAAGATTTGCCATCACTGGCATATAGCAATCTAAATATAATAAACATTATTAATAGGGTTCAGAGGCTTTCCAAAACTATTATAGTGACCTCATCTCCAAAGGAAAATGAGGAAGAACGAAATCATTACCATAATTCAACCAGGCAGTGATCACTGTACAACAAAGTGGATCAAATTAAAGTTTGTAGACAGTGGTTGGAATCAAATACCTGAATGAGGTTCAACAAACACAATTAGTTTAATATACTGATGTAGGCTTTCAAGGCTGGTATCCGTTGGACTTCCAAGGTTTATGGTCTAAACAACAGATTTCTTGACATTTTGCAAGCAACCAAGGCTGATATTGTAGAATTATTGGAAATTTCCTTTCTTTTTAGGTATGATATATTTTCAGCTTAAAGATTTGGTAGTGTATTAGGTTACTACTATATAATTAGAGGCTTTTGTAAACTTTTAAATTAACTTTAGCCAGAACCATTATTTCATTTGTGCCTTTGACTGCTAGAAGTAAAATTTCATAACATCTGGCAGCAAGAGCTGGGGAGAGGGGTGTCCACAAACAGTCCATAAGTCCAAACGTCTCCTATACAGTATACTACAAATGTCTCCTATGTAGTCTAACAAGTTGTGCCTTTGACACTTGCAAGCAAACCTGTTACTAGATTATTTAAAGGGTACCTGGTATTTAGCTTAACAGTGGGTAGGCGTGTTTAGACAAGGGCCCGGAGATGTAATTTATCATAGCATAGTAAAAAAAATCATACCCAGAGGTAGTCAGCTTGTATGATAATGACACAGAATTAAATAATTAATGGAGTATTGTGGGATAGTTTTGCTTTGCATACAAGTATGACTGTCATGTAACTTTGTAACCCATGAGCAATTCTCTTATTTTTGTTTCCTGTAGCAAATTATATAATAATAACTGTGCCTGATTACTGGGGTGCTCCTTGAATGTAAACTCCAGAGGCATCCTCTTCTGCTTCTGAACAGAAATAAAAGAGTTTTTCCTTTCCTCAATTCCTATGTGGACATCGGATTCTTCACAACAGGTTCTTGTACTAGCCAGCCTTCTGGTCAAAAGCATTTTCAGAGACAAGATTATTTACTACACAGACCACAGGCAACTGAGCAGATCTATCTTTATAGCCAGGTGTCCTGACTGCTGACTGACAATATTACAGTGTAAAGGCATAATCCTCTTAGAAAGAAACAGCCTTGTTTCATGTTGTCAAGAGCTGTAAGTTTGTAATATATCTACCAGCTTGTCAGCATCTGAAACCAACCCTTACACTGGAATGGGCTAGCAAGGGTGGAGTAACAGATGAGTTAAAGTTTGGAAAGGATAACTGTCTACCTGTATCATTAAGGTGACTGCTGTTGTTATCTGAACTCAGATCACAATTGTTTGATGTTAGGTGACCTTCATTTGGATCCAAGGGTGGCAATTCAAGTAGTATTTTCTTGCCTTCTACAAGAGATCCTTTTGTATGTAGGAGTACAGTTTCTGGTAAGGATAGAGAAAGGGTCATGTTTTTTGTCATGGTTACAGAATCTGTCATTAAATAAAATTATATAGATGTCACGTAGGAAATGCATCCTAGATCACTTAAAAAGGTGTAAGGAATGAATTATGCTTGAGTAATAATTTAGTCTCTTAAGCATACTATGGGGCTAACAAAAAGCTACGAGTCTACTAGAATGGTATGAAAACTTGGGGCTGGTTAAATTGTGAATGATGGCCCTCACCAGAGTTTACAACCACAATTTTTCATAATATGTGTCTCACATAATCTGAAAGATTCCTCAATTGTAAACTTGAAAATTTTGTCATCATTTCTACCCTACTGAATAAAAGGGATTTTTAATATATAATATAAAACAAAAAAATACTAGCCCTTTCACATACATAAAAAGCTGTTTTCTTTTCCTAACTTATTGATATTTAGTTCTACATGAGTTTCTTCAAATCCAGATGAAAAAATTAAAGTCCTGAAAATACTATCCACTTCATTTTAAAATAATCTATTAATTCAGCAGCATAACCTATCAATAAATGTAATAAAGTTTTTTTTAAAATGTAAATTTTAATTTTATCCCCTAAAATTATTTCAAACAAAAATAAATGAAGATTTCAACTCAGTAAACCTTAGTATAAAGGAGCCACTTTGTGGTAGTTATTCAATTATGCTAGCCAATAATTTCTTTGACTACAAATACGCGTAATTGATAAAATCTGTGAGAATTTGTGCTTCACACAAAGAAGGCTAATCAGGGTTTATCTGTACTGTCTTTTCCACTGTCAAATCATATTGTAGGTCATCTTGTAAGCGGATAGTGATTTAGGTGTACTCTCTACAGAAGTTTCAGGCAAGGATTGCTAATAATGTTTGGTTCACTACAGTTTTAACCATGGCTAGGTTTCATATTAGCAATAAGCCAAAACAAAACATGTTTTCCATTATAGTTTAATTGTATGAAATCAACATTTTCAAGAAAACAAAATGCTTGGTATTAATTTCTTAACTATGCCAAAGATAAAGTGTAGATCAAAATTACCTGGAATCAAAAGACTTGCTGGTGCCAAGAACTGATTTCTGATGAGGAGGTCCACCAAATCACTAACTGTACAATTTAATGTTCCCCAATCATAAAGTAATTCACATGTAGGACTTTTCCCTACTTGTTTTAATGCTTCAAATCGCCTTTAAGAAATATACATATGTTAAAGGTTTAGCTATTATTTATTAAAAATATGACATGACCATTTTAGTTGCACTTTTGCCATTTTTGAATCCAAGCGTGAACAGCTAAATATTAAACATTCTGTCAGCTATGAAGTACTAGGATAAATGAACTTACTGTCTTAAATTATATAATAATTAAGCCCAGTAACAATGAGAAAACAGGACTATACCTAGCACAGAAACGAATGGTATAAAACAAAATAAAATGAATTGAACTGGAGAGCAAGTTAATTTCCAAGATTGTTTTCACAGAGTGATGTATGTAACTAATATAGCAAAATAAAATATTACAAGAAAGGTTCAGAATCAAGGTGCCATTCTTAAAATAAAGTTGCCATCCCTGTAAGAATGTAGACACCTAAGTCTTATTTTGGACAGCCTACCTTTCAATGAAAACCTACAGGCAATATAATAACATGATCCAATACAGCTTCTCACATCTCTAGGCTAGATATATGAGCAGGAGAAAACTCAGACAGGGTCCATCTCAAAGGTTGATTTTTACTTGTCAGATCAGAACAGAAAAATCATCAGAACAGCCACTGTTGGGTCATCGCTAAGGTGAGGACCTTAGCGATGTCCCAACAGCAGCTGTTCTGACAATTGTTTTGGTCCCTTACTCCAATTACCAAACACTCATAGTGAAGCAGCATGCTTGAGCATCCACTATTTCTATTGCCTTCATTTTCAATGACCAAATTATTTAGCAAGTTGCAAGCTAACTCTAGCTATTAATCGAGGAGTTAGGCATATAAATTTATTAAAAATATAAATAAATCTGTAACAATGCTTCCCCTTTGGTTTCCATACCTTACCTTATTTGCATTTGGTTGTATCGTTTAACACCAGATGAATCGGTTATATCAGCAGCTAACTTCTTCCATCCTTCTTGTGGATCAATGAAATCTGCCAGCTGTCTCATCATTCCATAGCCAAGGGAACGTACATAGGTAGAAGGTGTTATGGAATTGGTCATTTTTGATCCCTGACAAATGCAAATGAAGTTGCTTTTAAGCACTCTTTTTTTATAATCCAAGACTATACACTAACCCCAAGGCTGTAATGCAGAGGTTTCCAAACTTGGCAACTTTAAGACTTGTGGACTTCAACTCCCAGAATTCTCCAGCCAACATAGCTGGCTGAAGAATTCTGGGAGTTGAAGTCCACAAGTCTTAAAAGTTGCCAAGTTTGGGGACCCCTGCTGTAATGCATGTTTCATTTGTACTTTATTTTTACAAGTTTTTCCATAGTACTAATTATAATGCAGTATTTGATTACTATGTCCCTACAAGTTTTGAACTATTTTAGCAGCTTCTTTTTTAAAAAAAACCAATCCATCACACATATTCTCCTATCAAATAAATGTGAAAGGATAACCAATATAGGTAGTGTCTTGTTGGCTGTTTAACAAATAGTTCTAAGTAGATAGTTCCCCTGAATTTCTTTGGGGTTGAAATTTGAATAGTAAGAATTCTTCTCATCCAGTTCACACACTGCTCACCAAAGTCCACTCCTGCACTGTCCTTAGATGGTCATCTGCTGCCCAGCTTCTTGGCAGTCATCTTAGACTGCCTCTTCTCCTCGTGGCGTAGAGAGAAAAAGGCCCAGGGTTCAGCAGGAGAGCTGCAATCTCTCAGAATGTCCCTCCTTAGCTTTGCCACCCCTACAAGGCAGCTTTGGCTCCTTTCGGAGCTCACAGAGAAGCCAGCACAGGAACGGAGAGCTCTGTTCCCTGTGACTGGCAACGCCAGGAAGCTCCACCGCTCTCCCTAAATTGAGCCCAAAATTTATGTTGCTAAGCGAGATATTTGTTAAGTGAGTTTTGCCCCATTTTACAACCTTTCTTGCCACAGTTGTTAAGTTAATCATTGCAATTGTTAAGTTAGCAACACGGTTAAGTGAATCTGGCTTCCCCATTGACTTTTGCTTGTCAGAAGTTTACAAAAGCTGATCACATGACCACAGGACACTGCAACTGTTATAAATATGAATTAGTTGCCAACCAGTTGATCACGTGACCATGGGGATGCTGCAACGGTCATAAGTGTGAAAAATGGTCATAAGCCACTTTAGTGCCATTGTAACTTTGAAGGGTCACTAAATGAACTGCTGTAAATTGAGAACTACCTGCACAAGGCAATATCTCATTACCCTGTTACTTTAATATACATACCTCAACTACATATTTATATTCATCCATAGCATTTACTTTGCAAACAAAACAGGATATATTACAGCAAAACTGTTTAGTGGGCAGAGCTGCTATCATAAAAAGTGAAATGCATATAACCTACTAATCTACAATCCCCACCCCACCCCCCAAAACCCCTACCAACTTCCTGTGCATGTTTGTATGGGAGACAAAGCAGAACTTATTTTAAAGAGGGCCTTTAGTAAAACGTTTTAAAAAGCCAGTCTTAATGCAACAAGTAGGCACTGGGCGGAGGGAGGGTGGGAAGAGAAAGTGCAAAAACAAAAGAGATCACTTCCCAAGGTTTATGCCCATTCTCAATATTATTTAATTTTTATGCTATTTTTCACGTTATGCCAAACTGTACAGAAAATCAGTTTAAAAAAACCTCAATATAAACAGTTCAAATGTAAGAATTTAGCTGGCTGCCCGCCCAATCACAGAATTGCTACAGAAAGCCTTTTTCCACTCTTCTGTTGTTTTATCAGAGAAGGGAAGTTTTACCCTGGAAGGCGACGCAATACAGCGGGACTCTCTCAAAAACCCTATAGGATGCCTGTTGTAAAAAAAAAAAATGAGTCCCAAATCCGCCGCCTTTAACTCCGGATGAAAGATAGAATCGAAATCTAGTAAATAAATACTTACTACTTATAACCTAAGGGAGCGCCGCAGGTCTCACTTTGCGTATTTTACGCTCCGAACCAAGGAAAAAACAGGCCCACCTCCCAGCCTCATCATCCGGTTGCCCAAGACGGGAACTTCCTTGCTGTCTCTTCTCCTTCATCCGGATTTCGCGCACTCTCTCTCGCAACAAGAGTCTGCGCATACGTTCACGTTTTCTCTCCGCAGGCTCGGCCTATTGGGACGGGCGTCGGGGAAGTAATTGATTGGTACCATGAAGTGAAACGCAAGAGACGCTACGCTCTTCTCTTTTTCTACCCCGGTTATAGGCCACAGTGAACCTGTCATGAGCTTTCTATCTCCTCTGCAACTTAATCGGCCGCTCTGCTCCAATAGTCTAGATTGCCACAGTGTTTGGTTGTGGTACGGTCCTTTCTGCCTGACTCCTCATTATTTTCTCTGTTCAGTGGCGGGTGGAAAATTGCTCGATGCGGTTCTCGCCCGGGAAGAAACTTCATTGCTTTTTATCTACGTGACGCATCAACTGAGGCCGTGGAATTGCGTGCAACTGCACGGATCGGTCTTGGGATTACTAAAACACACAGTGGGGAAATACGCTCAATTGTTCGCTGAGTGCACTTGCAGCTGCAGGCGCCAGTGCATACTTTTCGATGTGTATTCCACATTGTATGCTGTTTTACTGTCTTGTAGTATAGAATACAGAATAAGAGTTGGAAAGGATCTTGTAGGTTATCTACTCCAACCTCCTGCTCAAACAGAAGATCTGTACCATGTCTGGCAAGCGGCTTCTTGAAAGCCTCCAGTGAGGAAGTACCCACAGCTTATGAAGGCAAGCTGTTCCGTTGGTTGATTGTTCTCACTGTCAGGAAATTTCTCCTTATTTTAGATTGAATCTCTCCTTGATCAGTTTCTATCTATTGTTCCTTGCTCAGGTGCTTTGGAAAATAGACTGTCCCACTCTTCATGACAGCCCCTCAAATATTGGAATACTGCTATCATATCAATTTCCATCCATTGTTTCTTGTCTGGCTTTCAGGTGCCTTAGAAAATAGCTTGACTCCTTCCTCTGGCAGCCCCTCAAATATCGGAACTCTGCTATCATGTCTCCCCTGGTCCTTCTCTTCACTAGACTAGCCATGATTACTTCTTGCAACTGTTTTTCATATTTAGCCTCCAGGCCCCTAATCATCTTTGATGCTCTACTCTGCATTCTATAGTCAACATCTTTTTATAGTGTGGTGCAGTATTCCAGGTGAGGCCTTACTAAGGCTTCATAGAACAGTGTTAGTATCTCATGTGATCTTAATGTTAATGCAAATTGCATTAACAGAGGAACTGACTCAAGATCATGTGAAGTACTAGAGCTCCTAAATTACATTGAATTTTTTGTCTGCTGCCACATTTTGCTGGCTTATATTTAATTGATTGTCCACTAAGACTCCAAGATCCCTCTCCCACTTAATATTCCTATTAAGCCAGCTTTAAGCTAATATGTACCTGTACTTTTGGTTTTTCTTGCCTGTGTAAGATTTCACTTTTCTTTCTTTTCTTGAATTTCATTTTGTTATAGTTTCAAGTCTGCCAAGATTCATTTGGATCTTGAGCCTATCAGCTAGGGTATCCCTCTGCTGTGGCTCTCTGCTTCTCTTTTGAATAATTCACTTACATCTGGGACGTGTGTGTACCCTTAACGAGTCTGAGTGCATGTGCGCCAATCTCCTTTTCCCCCACAGAGTCCCATAGAAAAAGGTTGCTTTAATGATTGTGAAACTCTTTTCTGGTGTGTTTTGCTTTGCAAATAGTTTGAAACATTTTGCATATAGCTAGTTGCAATCTGCAGAAACATTGTCTATGGTTTAAAAAAAACAAATAATAAAGGAAAATTGTATATTAGAGGAAAATGTCAGGTGAATAATGAGTCTCAAAGATTAGATTAACAGAGTTGGAAGGTCATGTAGTCCAATCCCCCGCCCAAGCAGGAGACCCTACACCATTTCTGACAAATGGTACTCCAATCTCTTCTTGAAAGCCTCCAGTGATGAAGCTACCATCAAGGAAGGAAGGAAGGAAGGAAGGAAGGAAGGAAGGAAGGAAGGAAGGAAGGAAGGAAGGAAGGAAGGGATAACTATGGAATTCCAATAACCAATAACCATGGAACCCTAACCACAATTTTATAATGTTCATGAATCAGATTTATTGCTAACACTTTGCGTATGATAAAAACTATATAGAAAGTACCATCTACTAAATAATTTCATTGAGAAAGTCATAGGTGCTCTATCACTGGAGGCTTTTAAGAAAAGACTGGACAGTTGTCTGAAATGGTTGAGTAGGGGCTTGGACTAGATGACCTCCAAGGTCCTTTCCAGCTCTGTTATTCTATATTCTGGATACTCTCAATATTTCAGTGCCCTCACCACGGAAGTATAATTTCTCCTGAAAAGAGGTGTGTGAGCTGAAGTCTATAAAGAAAACGACACCACTAGAACAAGTATTTGAAGCGGAAGACATACAACTGGTAGAAGATGTCCATATGAAACATATTTACAACAGGGCTGAGTTTATTATATTTCCTGTCGTTGCTGCCTTAACTTGTCATGGCTTGTCATTATTTAATCCACAAGAATCAGTAGCAAGCTTGTCATTATTTAATTGGCAAGATTCATGTTCAAGAAAGCACAACTCATCATAATTTCTAGGTGGAATTTCGCGGTGTGACATTTACTTTCCGAATATGTTCTCTGCAGAATAAAAAAAATCTCCTTAGAATTCTTTTAAAAATCAAAATCCATTATTTAGCAGTAAATCCATCTCCGGCACAAAAGCTTTGAATCAAATTCAGCCACAACTATAAAAAGAAGGATGTGAGTAATATCATTTTTGCTCAGATTGCAAGTTTTCTGGGACAGAAGTAGTAAAATATGGCTGGTGTAATCAGAACTCCCTGGGTTTTGATAGGATATCTGATGTATTTTCCTTTTCAAGGTCACCAATTCTTCCTCCATCAGAAAGTCAAACCTGCTTCGTGGGGCCCATTTTTCCAAACTGCAGAACCAATTCCATCTGAAGGCCTTACCTTATTTCCCAGGTACATTGGTGCAGAATAATCTACAAGTAGACCTCAACTTACAGAAATTCATTTACAACGGCACAGAAAAAATGACTTACAACCATTTTTCACACAACCATTGCCACCTCCCTGTAGTCATGTGATCAAAATTCAGATGTTTGGCAACTGACTTGCATTTATGATGGTCGAAGTGTCCCAGGGTCACATGGTGCCCTTTTGTAACCTTCTGGCGAGCAGTCCATGGGGAACCCAGATTCACTTAACAGCTGTATTACCCTGTTTTCCCAAAAATAAGACCCAAGCAGAAAATAAGTCCTAGCATGATTTTTCAGGATGCTCGTAATATAAGCCCTACCCTGAAAATAAGCCCCAGTTAAGATTGTCAGCCAGACGGACGCACTTAGTACCGTATTTCCCCCAAATAAGACCCAACCGGAAAATAAGCCCTAGCATGATTTTTCAGGATGCTTGTAATATAAGATCTACCCCCAAAATAAGTCCCAGTTAAGATTGTCAGCCAGATGGATGTATTTAGTACCATATTTCCCTAAAAATAGGACCTAACCAGAAAATAAGCTGCAATGCCTCTTTTGGAGCAATAATTAATATAAGACCTGGTCTTATTTTCGGGGAAACACGGTACTAACTTAACAACTGCAGTGATTCCCTTAACAACCGGGGTAAGAAAGGTCATAAAATGGAGCAAATCTCACTTAAGAAACATTTCACTTAACAACAAAAATGTTGGGCTCAAGGTCGTACGTTGACGATTATCTGTATTGCATTCAGCATTACCAAAATATAAGAAGAAAAAAAGCGATTACAACTATTATCTGGGAAACAGATTTTAAAAGCTAACTGGAGAAGAGAACAGCATTTTTTTCTCCTTAGACTTTAATTAAGGCTGTCACATCAACCTTCAAAAAAAAATCTAGATGCAGGTAGTTCTCAAAGTTCATTTAGTGACTGTTCAAAGTTACGATGGCAGTGAAAAAAACTGATTTATGACCATTTTTCACACTTATGACCATTGCAGCATCCCCAAGGATCAAAATTCAGACACTGAATTCAAATGACTCGTATTTATGATGGGGTCATGTTAGAGAGATATTTCTCTGAATTAAGTGAGCAATTTATTCTGTCCAAATGGTAATAACTTAGAATAAAATATACATCTGCTCTGCATTTCTTACTTTCACTTAAAGTCACTTTAACACATTTGGCCTCTAAAATGTGTTTTTTTTAGGGCATGGAAAGTGATCTTAACAAAAAAAAATAAAAGGTTATGGAGAGAGAGTTTAAGAGTGTTCCATGGAAGTTGTAAGGAATCAGCCAGGGGTAAAACTGAAATGCAAATATTCACACACACCATTTACAGCCCAGTTTTCAAACAACATTTGAAACACATTTGGGAAAATGGAAGACAAATGTCATATAAGTTGACTTGGAACATTTCTGGGGATGGAGAATAATCTATAAGCTTGAAGTAAGATTAAGAAGGGGTAACCTTACCCTTGTTAATGGGCTCCTACATCTCCTCTCCCTGATCCCAGATTTCAAAATTGTGGTACCCAAACTGAGATCTGGATGAAAAACAAGTTTGGAGGTGAGCTGTATCAGTCAGTTCCTCTCATCTTCTCATTTATGTTTTATTTTGCCTTCCTTGTCTGTTTATTCCTTCTTTAGTATGTCTGAATATGTATTGTTGCTGCCATTATTATTTTGATCCCTACCTTCTCTTTCAAAGTAGGTAAGGTCGTCTTTCTTTCAAGAACTCATAGGCAGAAGATGCTCTCCTGTCCCCAAAGTGCTTTTTCAAGAGGCAAGTGGATTTTCTTTGTTTTTCTTTGAAGAGGTTTCACTTCTCATCCAAGAAGCTTCTTCAGTTCTTTGTCTTCAAGAGCCTTTGGGTCAACCATGACCTGGATGACTGAGAATCTCCATTGACAAAATGCTTCCATTTGTTCTTCTCATCCTACACCAGCTCTAGAGTGTCACCTGGGGAGGATTGTTTAGTGTTAGATTTGCAAATGAAAGCTTTGTTGCCATTTTCTTTTATCCTGTTGCAGTCTTCTTTCTGTTGCTGCATCTTATTTGCTGTAGCCGGCTATGACTGGGCCCGTAACCTGTGAAAAATTCTGCATATAGCCCTATAGAACAGGTGTGTCAAACTCACGTTGTCACAGCATCACATGATGTATTGGGACTTTTCCCCCCTTTGCTAAAATGGGCATTGGCATTTGACAGCCGTGCTATAGAACAAACAGTGCACAGTCCACATATGCTTTTCTGCTTAACTGCCACAAACGGGAACCTATAAACACTACCATCTATTGGTTGAAGAACATCTCTCTCTACTGAATACTGCTGTAGTTGTACTAAATGCACGAAGACTGTATTCCAACAGTTATATGTTTGGTCTTCCCTGCCCTTATGCTTGACCTCCCACCTTCTTGGGCCCATGTGCAGAGTAGACAATAAGGTGTCTCAGAAGAAGCCAGTTTCATTTCATTTATTGGAGGAAAATTATTCTCTATATCCCTTAAATAATCTTTATGATAGAAATCTCGATAAGTACTGTATACATGATTGTCAAGGCAGAGAATAATTTGCAACACAGCCCCATGAACAATTTGTAGCATCGCAAACTCCTTAGGCGGGTTAAACATTTTGCTTTGCCTTGTTACATGCACTGAGTAAATACACATTTCCTTTCTCAATGATGGTGTTATGGAACTGAATTGATTACAAGACTTATAATAACAGGCACACCGAACATTCCCGGATTAAATTTGCAAGTGGTTTCCCCCCCCACCCCCCACAACCTTTTAAATGGACTTTAAAAAATTTTTTTTAAAAAACATGCTTGCTTTGTTGTTGTTGTTATTGTTGTAAAAATAAAAGCAAGAATGAGATGTTTTGCAATAAATGCCATTTTTTAAGAACTGTTCCAGATTTGGATCTGACCGAGTCAAACCAAGCTTTAAAAAAAAAAAAACACACACACACCAAAGGAATATAAAATGTACATAAAAAGCTGAATTTCATTGAGGAGCAAAACTGTTCTGTCAGCTTCATTCACAAGCAACCGGTCACATCTAACAATAGGTAGCTCTGCTTGAAAATATACATCCAAAGTCTTACCCATTGAATGAGCCTTGAAAGTACATAGCGATAGGTATGAAAACACACAAATTAATCAACAATATATGCCACAGCGTAACTCCTTTGATTTTCCTGTTCGGTTGCTGGTTCTCCAGAAAGCATCCAGAAAGCTTAAGGCTGCAAAACTAAACCCACTTATGGAAGGGCAAGTTCCATGGAAATGAATGGCCCTTATTTTCAAGTAAGTACACGTAAGGTTTGCCAGAGAAGTGCATTAAAACGTATTTCATTCTATAGCAGACTGTGGTTGAAACCCCCTGCTCAGGCAGGAAACCCTATATACCATTTCAGGCAAATGGTCGTCCAATCTCTACTTAAAAACTTCTAGTGTTGAAGCACCACAACTTTTGGAGGCAAGCCATTCCACTCATTAATTGGTCTCACTGTCAGGAAATTTCTCCTTAATTCCAAGTTGCTTCTCTCCTTGATGAGTTTCCATCCATTGCTTCTTGTCCTGCCCTCAGGTGCTTTGGAAAATAAGTGGATCCCCCCTTCTTTGGGGCAGCCCCTCAAATATTGGAACATGCTATCATGTTACACCTGCTCCTTTGCATTAAACTAGTCATAGTTTAATACAACTGTTCTTCGTATATTTTAGCCTCCAGTCCCCTAATCATCTTTGTTGCTCTTTTCTGCACTCTTTCTAGAGTCTCAACATCTTTTGTTTACATCGTGGTGACCAAAATCAAAGTGAATCACTTTTGAGCATCATTAATTTCGGCATGACTTGAGTTGTGAAGACCCCAGAGATTTGTAAAACACCTCTGTTTAAAGTATTTTTTTTACTTTGACTAGAGTGCTTCTATAATTAATGTAGAATCTTGATTCTTAACGAATGTACCTTTTCTTTATGTATACTGAGAGTGTTTTCACCAAGACAAATTCCTTGTGTGTCCAATAAAGCTATTCTATTCTATTCTATTCTATTCTATTCTATTCTATTCTATTCTATTCTATTCTATTCTATTCTATTCTATTCTGTTCTGTTCTGTTCTGTTCTAATGGGAAAATTAAAACTATGCACATATTCTATCTATGCCTCCCAGCTTTCAAACTTCCCACTGATGTTTGCCAAGAAATTCCTGTGGAAACATCCTGTTACAGAGGATTATGTAAAATTGGTTGGAACTTTCCTTTTTTCTGTCTTCCCCAGAAACATAAATGGATGCAATGCATAGATAAGAGGTTTTCCTCAATAATTCTTGTTATTGGAATACAACATGGCAAGAATTTAGACCATTTCCAATTCTGTGTCCCATAAGGGGAAAGAAGGAAATTGCAAACTTTTTTTCATTTAATGTTTCCTGATTTTCCTATCAAGGAAGCAAAACAGCATTTCAATGCTACCCATTTATGCAAAGCATCATCCTGCACAAAGAAATTGGTGGGTTTTGTGACATTGTGTTTGTACTGTTTTGCTTCTTCCTTCCCAATTCCTACTGAGGCTGCAGGACTGAAGATGGAGAATAAGTAATGGTTATTCTGATCACAAGGAATGCAAATGGCACATATATCCTCTCACTATTTTGTCTAATTTATTGGACTTTCCTGTCTCTTTCTTGCCATAGATACAATGGACCAATGCTCAGATTAAAAACACCTCTCCTTACTGAGAAACTACAGTGTCTATAACCAGAGAAAAGAAAATTAAAGGACTTCCTTAATCCTTGCTTGGTTAGCTTGTCCACTGGCGTGAGTAAGCCATGATTCAGAAGTTCTATAGAATGAGATACGTTTTACAAAAAATTTTAAAAAATCAAATTTAAAAGATGGCAAGAAAGCCTACGGATTCGGAAGGTGTTTTCATACAAAGGCAAAGATTGGGAAAGCAAGCTCAGTCATTAAAACATGCAGTGCAGCTTCATGCATTTTAGTTTTTTTCCAACATCTCCAAGTTGTTAATTCTTCCAGCAACAATTCCCAATTCTGTACCAAGGCTCAGCTTCACTTATCTGTTTCCCATCATTCCTCAATTTGGGTGGAAAATTGTTTTTTGAAAACTTCAGACAAAACCAGGACTATATTGTTTTCCCATCAAGAAAGAAATAATAATAATCTCTCTTTTAAAAAAAAGTTTCTATAGATAAATGAACTGCCATAGTAGGCTTGTATTGGTTTACTATTATTTTTTTAAAAAGATAAAAATAGAATCTATTTTCCCCTCTTCTGTAACCAGAGACCCTTTTCAAAACTTTGCATTTTTTTTTTTAAAAAGATGAATGACATAATGATTCTAAAACTACCTGCAATCTAAGATAAAACAAAACCAGGCATGAAGATCAGGTGCTGGGATCCTGAGATTTAGCAAGAGTACTTTTTAAACTTATTATTAAAATAGATTTTAAAAAATTAGCCTTAATTGAAAAAAATCTTTGATTTATGAAAAATAGCGGCATCGGTGAATCCCCCCCCCCCCCCAGGTTGAAATAAAATGGAACAGGACAGCAATTCTCCTTTGCTACATGGTTGAAATGAGAGATCCTTGGTGCTATCTGAGCTTGGTTGTTTTCTTGGAGATGTTTCATGACCCAACTAGGTAACATCATCAGTGCTAGCCTTGTAAAGCCTTTGGGATAAAGGGAAAAATGAGACAGAGAAGGGAATAAGGAAGAGAGAAACACTATTAGGAGTCAATACTGGCCATCAGCGATGAAATCCAGCCCAAATGAAGAATTTCTATTGATTTTAATGGGAAGGACTTAAGCTTTTCTCACTGGCTTGACTGTTGCTTTATTCTGTGCTATTGGCTTATAGTCTTGTATTACAAAGATGATTTTATTAACCAGTCTTTTTTTAATCAGACAGGCAAAATCTGCAAGAGAAGGGGACATTTTCCAAGTTTCTTCATGGGTGTGGCACTGGAATTAATATAGACCACATAGACTGATCTAAATATTCAAATGTATGTCCTGGAAGCTCACCTAGCCATATATTTTCAGAAGACAGGACTCTGCTGGTTCCTTTATCCATGATTTAAAATTCACAGCACAGCAACAGATGTTTACATCTGTTTTGGTTTCAACCCAGAGCCAGCGGTTTTGAAGTATTATGGACTCCAGTAACACAGTCTTGGCTGTTAGAGTAGTATTTTCCTCAGTGTTTTGAACTGGTGCAGTGATAATCTGTCAATCTGTGGAGGGGGTGTTAGGTCTGGGTGAGATTAAGAAGAGAATTCCAAGAAACGGGACAGGGAAGATCAAAATTTCATCTCAAAATTATTGTCCCAAAGGTGCTTTTTTCCCCCAAGCTGGTCTTTCTATGTTTTTCTTTGAAGAGGTTTCACTTCTCATCCAAGAAGCTTCTTCAGTTCAGGGTGAATGGTGGAGGATGGAAGAACTGAAGAAACTTCTTGGATGAGAAGTGAAACCTCTTCAAGGAAAAACAGAAAGTCCAATTGCTTCTTGAAAAAAAAGCACCTTTGGGACAACCAGGATCTGGATGAGTGAGAATCTCCATTGACATCTGTCAAAATTATTATTATTTTTTCCCTGGCTCGAAGAATGATTGGAGAGAATTCAAACCGGTGGTTGGGTGTCAAATTCTTCTCCTTCCTTGTGGTTCCCATTTTAGCTAAATCAAGACGTCATAAAAAGGATTTCCTTTCTTTCCTCATTTTAAATCCCAGTCCTATTCTTTGATAGGAAGCTGTGCAGAAAGATTCTAGTAAAATCCACCTTTATTCCGAGGGCCGCACACCAGCAATTTGTTTTCAGATTTGCAAAGCAGTATAGTTGCATCTTAAGTAAACCACAATGGAAAAATTGGACGTACTTTTGCACCTGCTGGGAAGGAAGGTCACATTTCAATGCAAAGGTGGATTTTAATATCACAACTGCCCAACATTTCTGGAAGAAACAGACTTAGGAATCACTCCACAGCTTACTGCAAATAATTGCTGGGTCAGTACTGAAAAAAAAAACCTTTTCTAATTGTAATATTCATAGGGACAAAAATGATATTTTGTCTGGGTGAAGGTTGTCCAGCTCCTTTGCTTAGGAAACTCGATTTAAAAACAAATGATTCCATATTTTAGTAGAAAGAATCACACCAAAGTCGTTTACAGTACATTGATTTCCTGATGTGTCTATTCTGATGTGTTTATGAACTTCCCTAGCTCCACACTGTTTCATTCTTTGCTTTTTCTACAGTCATTTTATACTTCCATATCCCTTTTTATGCTATATGGAATATGCTGGTCTTTGGCCATAATAAAGTTTTTATAGGGTTTTCCTTCCTCTCTCCTCAATTCAATTGAAAAGGGGGGGAAAAACCACACAAGGAAATTTTGAAAGCCCCATTTTAGAGCCCGTGAAAATGAGTCTGGTGCGAATACAAACAGAGAATAAAACATTACTTCTGTGATTAACACAGAAACTTATCCTTAAATTCAACCTATGAAACCTTCCCCTTCCATGAGACTGGAAGGAAACAAGAGCCTGTTCCCATATTCTTGACAAAATAGGATGCAAAAACAGTTCGTTTTCGACGTCATTGCAAGACCCAGACAAGTCTGCAGTCCAGAGTTAGGGAGTTTAAGAAAAATAGGTACATATATGTACATATAAAACACACCGCGAAAGCCTTCCTGATTTGAAAGATTAATGCAACCTTCTTTGTATTCTGGGGGGGGGGGGGGGGGGAGGAACCAAGAGGAAAAAAAAACCCAACAAAGCTGAAAATACAAAAAATACAACGGGAAAAAAAATAATGTCTAAATAATCCAGTTGAACTATTTTGTTAATGATAAACCAAAGCAGGTTAACACTGAGAGCTGAGTTAAATCATTGAGGTCCAACATAAGTCAGAACATTTTGGATTCCTGGACCCAGAACCAGGTGGTGTTCTCCTCTCCATCCTCCTGAAAGTCACTTCCGTTTGCGACGAACGCAACTTTTCAGTATCGCAGTATAAAATATGGCCATTTATTTTGTGTGTGTGTGTTGTTTAAATCCTTCTATTCTTGTAATGCTTCGATGTGTTTACAATGCAGGATGAAGTCACCTGGGAGAAAGTTTCCTTCCCTGCCTGTTTGGGCACCGAGATGGGGTCCTTCCTCCCATCTCTGACATCTTCCTTGTTGGGTGTGGGGATTGCGAGATGACCTGGATCACTTGGTCGTTGTGTGTATTGTGGTTGTGGTTATCGTGGTCTGTCGGGGCCTCCTCTCTCCTCCAGAAGAAATACTGGGTGAAGCTGAAGAAGCAAAACTACAGTGAGTAGATGAGGAAATACCTGAAGGAGGAGGGAGAAAAAGAAGCGACATCACCAATCAACATCCATGCAATCGATGGATACAATTCTCAGAAGACTGTTCTGACCCAAACCCTTTTCCAATAAGACAAACACGAAGCAAAGGGAACAGAAACCTTTTAATGAGTCTTACGAATCCCCGGTTAAAAGGCTGCTGCAAACTAATTAACTTTGATAAGCAAACCTTGCCAAAACCATATGAGACTGCCAAAAATCACAGATAAGAAATATTTCACAACAGAAGAGTCTTCAAATATCAACTTAAGATACTGTAATATCCACGAGGCTGAGTTTCAAAATGTCTTTGCTTCCTGCAAAGGATGTTCGCTTCACAACTGGCTTTTATCTTCTTGAAGGAAGGGCCATTACCTTGCAGCCTTACTCCTGAGTCGCCCGTGCTGCTGCAGATGCTCTTTCCTGCGAGCAATCCTGTGTGCATGCACATGCATTTGGCACAGGCTCCTCAGGAACCTCCTCATCGCTGCTGCCAGCCCCACAATCTCTGAAGGCAGCAGTCCACTCCCTAATGGTTCTGGCCCCTCATCTGAGTCCTCACTCTCCTCAGCCATTCGCACCTGCTGCAGCTAACCACAACAAAGATATAAGTTGGGGAGTGTGGGAAGCTCCCCTCTCCCTTGAGAATGAGATACATTTTGGGGAATATTAAAAGAGGGAGTCTATAGAGATTCTCAGTCATCCAGGTCATAGTTGTCCCAAAGGTGCTTTTTTCAGGACTTTCTTGTTTTTTCTTTGAAGATGTTTCACTTCTCATTCAAGAAGCTTCTTCACTTCTCATCCAAGAAGCTTCTTTGCTTCTCATCTCCACCATCCAGTCAGAGCTGAAGAAGCTTCTTGGATGAGAAGTGAAATGCCTTCAAAGAAAAAACAAGAAAGTCCTGAAAAAAGCACCTTCGGGACATTAAAAGAGGGAGAATATTATATTTCCCCTAAAGGAGAAGAGGAGAAATGTGTTCTTAAAGGCAGGAAGCAGCCTCAGTCTTCTTGCTATAGGAAAACAGCCTCAAGCAGAAGCCTGATGTCTTTAGAAATGGATATTTTGTACCCATTAAGAAAGCCAGGCCATCCTATTCATAAACCAAACGCCTTCAGCCACAGCTCCCCCAGAAGGCTGGAGCTGATAGGATTAAAGAGTAGAAAAACAAAGACTCCTAAAATCTATATTCCCCCACCCAGCTCCAAGGGACCTCCCAGCCACAAAGGGAGTCAGGCAACAATAATTAGAATACGGAAAGGGCACACTCAGTATATTTCACAACAAACAAGCATCTCACCTCCATTTTGTCAGCCCCCCCCCCATCCCCAGAAACATGTAGCTGGAACTGAAGTTTCTGGCTGCTAAATAGAAAGAAACCTCCTTTCCTGCAGCCTGCCTCCATTTTATTTCCAGCGTCTTTCTCCCGGATTGGAACTGGACTGGATTTTTCTTCCAACAGAAGGAAAGATCTAACATTTAACCCCCTCTTCCCCCAGGGAAAGAAATTTAGAACAGACGGAAAGAAAAGATTTCTTTACCAATCAAATCTTTATTAGTCAGAGATTGGCAGCCTTAATGAGTATTTAACTTGTAAGTCAAGAATGTTTTGTATTGTGGTAGGTTTAGTTAGCCGTATATTAACTTTTCGATGTTTTTTGTATTTATTTAATGTTTTTCACCTTTTGAAAGCTTTTTAAAAGAATCTTGTGCTATCTATCTATCTATCTATCTATCTATCTATCTATCTATCTATCCATCTATCTTTCTATCTACCTATCTATCATCTATCTATTATCTATCATCTATCTATCTCATCTATCTATGATCAATCAATTGATCTCTATTATCTATGTATCATCTATCTATCTATCTATCTATCTATCTATCTATCTATCTATCTATCTATCTATCTATCTCTATCTATCTATCTCTATCTATCTATCATCTATCTATCTCTATCTATCTATCTATCTATCTATCTATCTATCTATCTATCTAGCATCTATCTATCTAACATCTATCTATCATCTATCTATCTCTATCTATCTATCTATCTATCTATCTATCTATCTATCTATCTAGCATCTATCTATCTATCTATCTATCTATCTATCTATCTATCTATCTATCTAGCATCTATCTATCTATCTATCTATCTATCTATCTATTTATCATCTACCTATCTAGTTATCTCTCTCTCTCAAATATTTTTAATTTTGTGTATTTTATCTTTTTTTTAGCTTTTAAAAAATTCTACCTTCTTATGCTGATCTGGGGCCATAATAAATAAATCCAATAAATCCAAAAAAGATTCACTCTAATGATCTTTTTTGCAAGCCCGTATTATTCCCATTTGAACCACATATCCCTGATCAGAATAGTGATGGTGGAGCCCAGACTCCTCCCCTGAAGATGTATTTAGATACTGAATTCCAAAATGGGAATAAATCTTCAGGTATTTGTGACATGAATTCCCCAAGGGGCTGCCTTGTTGACCATCTCTAAAACACCATTCCCTCCCTCTAGAGAGGAAACGACATTTGGTGATAAGAGACAGTTGGATTCTATTGATAAAAATGTCAGGGATGTGATTCAAGCCAGCCACTTGGGAGTCAGGCTGAACTTTGGTGAACAACTTGGTTTGGCTGTGGGACCAAAACCTGAGCTCCAGGAAATTCAGACCACCAGGCTCCAAATATAATATTCTTTTCAGAGGAAGACAAGCCATCTCCAGGGCTGCATTATTATGGAGGCAAAAATATCTAAAGAATGGTTGCTGGAATTGGAGATGTCTAGTTTAATGAAGAGAAGGAGGACATGATAGCAGTCTTCCAATATCTCAGGGGCTGCCCCAAAGAAGAGGGAGTCAAGCAATTCTCCAAAGCACCACAAGGACAGCACAAGAAGCAAAGGATGGAAACTCATCAAGGAGAGAAGCAAGCTAGAACTAAGAAGAAACTTCCTGACGGAACAATTAATCAGTGGAACGACTTGCCTCTAGAAGTTGTGAATGCTCCAAACCTGGAAGTTGTTATTATTATTGTTCTCACTGTCAGGACATTTCTCCTTAGTTCCAGGTTGCTTCTCTCTTTGATGAGTTTCCATCTGTTGCTTCTTGTCCTGCCTTCAGGTACTTTGGAGAATAGGCCGACTCCCTTCTTATTGGGGGCAGCCCCTCAAGTATTGGGACACTGCTATCATACCATCCCTAATCCTTCTTTTCTCTAGACTAGACATACCCTGTTCCAGCAACCGTTCTTCATACATTCCAGCCTCCAGGCCAGTGGTGGGATTCAAATCTTTTTACTACTGGTTCTGTGGGTATGGCTAGGTGGGTGTGGCCATGTTATTGGGTGGGCGTGACTTTTTTTGCAGCAACACTCCCACCCCATTTTTTGGGCCTTCCTGGCCTCAGGGGAGCCTCTGGGGGGTGTTTTTGCTCCCAGGAAGCTTCCCTGGGGCCCAGGAAGGCAAAAAATGGATGGGACTGCTTCCTGGGCCTCAGGGAAGTCTCCTGGGTGAAGCAGTAAGAAGTGAGGGGAATCTAGGCACAGCTGATTGTTGTGAGGTTAAAAAAAGAAAGAAAGAAATACCTTAAGGAGTGACTGGGCAAGTGAGCATCAGATGGACTGGGTGAGCAAGCATTGGGCATCGGGCAGGTGGGGCAAGTGAGTGACCGGTGACCGGGCAACTGGGTTGGGGACATGGCCAGCCAGAAGTTACTACCGGTACAGAAACCCATGCCAAATCCTTGCTACCAGTTCGTGTGAACCGGTGCGAACCGGCTGAATACCACCACTGCTCCAAGCCCTAATAATCTTTGTTGCTCTTCTCTGCATTCTACACAGAGTCTCAACATCCTTCTTTTATCATGCTGAAGATAGTTAACGTTGTGCAGAAGATGGCCAATATTATAGGTAGCAGGAGGTGATCAATATTGGATTAAATAATTGATGATCAATATTGGATTAAATAAACCTTGCCCCAAGCCCCTGGTTTAATGCCTACACCTGCTCCACGCCATGTACTTACACTCTTTTCTGGATGCGCCATCTGGGAGCGGGTTGGCCAGACTAACATTGTTAGATACACTAATGTTGGAGCCACTATCCAAACTGCTGCCAAGATGTAACCGCCGCATGTGCCTCACCACGGCGGTGGCGTTAAAAGCTTGCTGGAAAAGAAGAGACAAAAGAAGTGACTTTCAGGAATTTTGGAGAAAGAGAAGGAACACGGCTGTCAGGGTTCCGACGGATGCCCTAATTAATTCATGAGCCTCGAGCCAAGTTTGAAAAGAAATCCAATTATTTAGTAGGAGCAACATGTCGGCACTACTTTTCCCAAGTGCAGTTGGCTCTGCCCTACATAATTTTCTGCCCACGCAGGCTGTGGAAAACATGCCTCTCCAGCTGGGCTTGGTAACTTCAGACACAATCTGGAGAAAGATATGCGTGGAATGTGCTTCTGGTCATTTCAACCAAACTGCTCCATCAGATCTCCCCCTCTCCTTCTTATGGCAACTCGAGACCAAACCAGGAATGCTTTACAAGTTGACAAGGGTGCTACTACAGCTTTAGAATATCTACTCTCCCAGCATATCGGATCGCTGAAGATACACTCCCGTTGAGAAATGACAAATACTATGGTTGAATACTGGCAGTCTTTGATTTACAACCATTTGTTTAGGGACTGTTCAAAGTTACAAAGGCATGGGGGAAAAAGTGAGTGAAGACCATTCCTCACATTTATAGTCATTGCCGCATCCCTACTGTCATGTGATCATAACTCAGGCACAAATACTCAGAACGTATTTGCAATGAAGAAAATATTAGAATGTGTGGAAATGAATGGGTTAACACTTGCAATTAAAGAGAAGGAACAAACTGAATATTATATGACATTGGAATCATTTTATCAATGGTTAGAGAAGAAATATGAAAGTTAGAAACAGAAGACTAGAGAAATAAGATCGTATGCTAATAGAAGTCAACAAAATGAGGATTGTTATAATGATTAGATATATGATGTATATCAGTAATAAGCTAAGAGTAGAGAATTAATACTAATGTAAATGACTATGGCTGGAAACTTTGGTTATTGTTGCACAAGATATTTGTACCCAGATGACACACCATTTAAATGGAAGGTGGATTGTTTGTTTTGTTTGTTTCAAATAAAAAAAATGTAATTAAAAATGTATCTGCAATGGTCATAGCATCCTGAGGTCACATGATTGCCATTGGCCACCTTCTGTCATGCCCCTGTCAAAATCTGATTTAGAGGTAGAGGCCGAGCAGCTAATAGGGAGTGTGAGTGTGAGTGTGGCTCCATTGGCTGTGGAGGAAACTGGGGAAGGGCAAAGTCCGGCTGGGCAGAGCAGGGGAGAGGTAGAGCAAGGGAGAGGGAATTCAGAGGAAGACCCAGGCCCACCTGCTCTTCATCCTAGGGCATGCAGGGAGGAACGGAGAAGAGAGCAACGTGAGTTGTGTGGCTTATGGGGGAGGAAAGGGCCCTGATTCCCTTCATTAGCTGCAGCTGGGAACACAGTGTATAAAAAAGGCAAGCTACGTGCAGCAGGCTGTTGGGAGCAAACGTGACTTTATCTTGTATCGTCATGGCTTATCTGTGTTCTTGTCAGTCAATCAGTCAGTCAGTAGGTCTTCTACAACAATATAAACCACCTGAGAACTTACTCTCCATTTGCTTTTTGCAAAATTCTTGCGAATCTGAGCGCTGACAGACTCGTGGATATTTTTGTTGAGGGCTGTGTCACCGGCGATCCTGAAAAATAAAATAAAGATGTTTGATGAAGTCCTTGTTTTTGAGAGTTTACAACTGTAGGAACGTTCCTTGTCATTCTTACTGAAACAAGAATGAAATCCAACTCCACATTTTTATCAACAGGTTCAGTAAGAAGATAGCTGCCCTAATAGTTAGCAAGGAAACTCCGAATGAAATGCAGTGGTGCGTTTTATTCTTGGGTGAAAACAAATTCCATCGTTTTCCATAAGATGAGCCTCAGGAAAGCTCTCTGAGGACCTCTGCCAGCCAGCAGGATTAAATTTAGTGAAGGACCAAACTCATGTAGCTTATCACTTGACTCTCAAAATTGTCTCATCTTTGCCTTGATGTGGCATTCACCCAGTTGGAAGTACTGACACCCTTCTGGGTATCAGAGTAGTCCAGGGGGTCTCCCACCTTAGCAACTTTAAGACTTGTGGACTTCAACTCCCAGAAGCTTTGCTGACTAAGGAATTCTGGGAGTTGAAGTCCACAAGTCTTAAAGTTACCAAGGTTGGAGACACCTGGACTAGGTCATGGTTGATCTGGAAGGAGACCCTTGAACAGAAATCCTGATTCTGGACAGGGGCTACATGCTCAAGTTTTCTACCTATGAAGATCATGAACTGACTGAGATATAGACCATTTCTTTCATCTCTCTTCTCAAGTTGCCTTGTTATCTGCTGTTGAAGCAATTCTCTGAGGACTTTTGAGATGAAGAGAGAGGTTCTGGAAGGGGGGACTTCAGAGAGCCTTCACTGCATCATAGATGACAGTCTGCAAGGAGTATCAATCCTTCCATTCCCCACCATCCAGTCACAAATAAACTTCCAAGTGGCCTCAACGTCTCTCTAAAAGGATGCAAATGACCAGCAGTCTGCAAGGAGTATCAATCCTTCGGTTCCCCACCATCCTGTGAGAGTTGAAGAAGCTTTTTGGATGAGAAGCAAAATGTTCTCAAAGAAAAACCAGAAAGTCCAGTTGCCTCTTGAAGAAAGCACCTTTGGGACAACCAGGACCTGGATGACTGAGAATCTCCATGGACAAGAGCAAAGTTGATTTCTTCAGGGACTATCAGGCACAAAGAATGAGGATATGTTAAATTGCAGTTCAGACCATGTATTGCTCAAGTCTACACACAAGAATCTAGTCAACTAAAGTTCAACGCTAAATTGGCGCCAGGTAAGGTAAGTCAACTGAATTCAAGAGGAGCTGGATTTAGACCATTTGTGGCAATGTAATGGCTGATGATTTGTTTAACTCCTTCCCAGCTCTGCCTGCTCTTCTCCTACAGAACCATGCTTTCAGATTCCCAAACCAGCTTACAACTCCATGGCTTCCTGGCGGCTAATAATCTCCCATTCGAATATTCCACAGGGCTGATTATACTTAGCTTTCTAGGTGAGCCAATGTGGCTTAGATCTTGCCAAGGAAAACATCTGGCCCAGAAGAGATATCTAAGCTTGGATTTTATTGTGGATGGGTCAGTGGAAAGTCTTGGCACATCTTCAGTCAGCCACTTGCTGAACATCAGGACGTTTTCTTTCCTTCCATAAACAAAAGGACCCAAGCTCTCTTTTAACAGCTTCCTGTCAAAATTGGTCAGGTCAAACTTTTCTGGTCTTGCTTGGTAAATGAGAGGGAAGATCTCCATAGTCCTCAACCAGCAGAAGTTCAAAGTTGGCCTTCTCCCTTCAAAGTATCTTCTGTGCTTGACCAGTTGACTTATTCTTCGTTCTTCTGCTTCCTTATTTGTGTTGGTGGGACATCCTCAAAACCAGAGTACTGTATGTGGTTTAGATTTTTATCAAGAGAAGTAAGGAACATTTGCAGCCAGTGAGGAAGGATACATGGAATCTGACCAGTAAAACACAGACCGGAGAAGGTAGGCTACACTTAAGATTTTGTCCTTCATGGCAAAGATTTAAGATACTCAAAGCAACTCGTTAAATGTTCTGTGGTGTAATTTAAATCAATGAGCCCTCACTGCTTAATGGAATGGAAACTCTAGAGCAAACTTTAAAGGGGCATCCAGGAAAAATAGCAGAAATAGCAAGTACTACTGGGTGTAGTTCCCAGTCAGCTAGCCCCAGCATTGCATATTAAAATAATCAGATGTTTGCTTCACATCATCCAATAATTCTGGATTAAATCTAAAGAAGGGGTTTCCCTCTATGCTGAATCATAAAATGTTCTCCAAAAAACTAACAAGGGAGCCTGATGTCTATGGAGATTCTCAGTCACCCTCCACCATTCAGTCAGAACTGAAGAAGCTTCTTGGATGAGAAGCGAAAACTCTTCAAGGAAAAAACAAAGGAAGTCTGGTTGCCTGTTGAAAAAGCATCTTTGGGGCAACAGATCTTGATGCTCATTGAAAGGGGCTGAGATTATTATTATTTTTTTCTCCATTGTCATCCCCCCCCATAGCTTTGTTTTTCTTAGAGGTTATCAACCTGCTTCCCTGGTCTTTCTAAACATACAGGAGTTGAATTGGATTTTTTTTTACTACAGGGGTCCAGGGGTGGGATTCAAAAATTTCAACAACTGGTTCTCTGCCTGGTTGCTGGGTGGGCGTGGCCATGGTGGGCGTGGCTTTCTGGAACTTCCAGGCGGCCTATTTTTCGCCCTCCCCGGGCTCCAGAGGCTTTTCTCAAGCCTCCGGGAGGGCAAAAACAACCTCCCCCGGGCTCTGGATGCCCTCTGGAGGCCAGAAACAGGCCCATTTCCAGACTTCCAGAACTTCCGAGAGGCCCATTTTTCACCCTTCCTGGGCTCCGGAGGCCTTTCGGAAGCCAGAACCAGGCCCGTTTCTGAAGTACTGGAACTTCTAGGAGGCCCATTTTTTGCCCTCCCCAGGTCCCGAGGCTTTCCTCGAGCCTCTGGAAGGAACAGCCTTCCCTGGGCTCCAGATTCCCTCTGGGGGACAGAAACGGGCCCGTTTCTGGACTTCTGGAACTTCTGGGAAGCCCATTTTTTGCTCTTCCAGAGCCTCCACACTTACCTGCATCCAGAACGGGTCACATGGAGACTCCAGGAAGGGGTGGGGTGGGGTAGGTAGAGCCAGCTGGTCCTTGCAACTACTGGTTCAGAGAGCCCGATGTAAAATTAGAATCCGGTTTGTCTGAACCGGTCTGAATCCCACCCCTAATGTTAATTCAGTGGGGAAAGAATACCTGAATGTTTTTTTCCATTACAGAGAGAGAGAGAGAGAGAGAGAGAGAGAGAGAGAGAGAGAGAGAGAGAGAGAAGAAGAAGAAGAAGAAGAAGAGTGAACACAAAAGGAATTGAGAGTCACGATGAGGATGGCAGATTGACGTTTCCCTTGGAAGCACATCACAAATTTTCCTTTACGGTGAAGCGAAAGAGCATTCAATTTTTCGGTCCTTCAATTTTCCATTAAAAATCTCCTCTCTGTTTGCCCAGACTGAACCTCAGATCTATGTGTGCTGTCCAACTGCCATCAGGGTTGCCTGGAGCTTTAAATCCAAGTTTGGTTTGGGCTTTGATATTATAATTAAATTTTCAGTGCCTTCTCTTTCGTCTCCAGTATTTTGCCTTTGTGATCTTTCCCCAGGGACAAATGAGACTGGAATTTATGAACACGACAACTGATGGGGAATAAAAAAAAAACCCCAGCTTACCATGGGTGACGGGCAGCCTGTTCGCAGGTATATCTTTTATTGGGATCTTTCTCCATCAGGTTCCGAATAAAATCTTTCGCTGGGAGAAAGGAAAACAGCGGAAAGAAAAATGGCATTTGGTACTCAAAGGAACAAAATGGCCCAGCGGTATTGATAAAGGCAGCCTCCTTTATAGAGGGAATTACATTCATAATCGATTCAACGCATTGATTATGTAATAAAGCTTGGCTCAAACCCCAGCTCGCTCTCATGATTCCTACAGCTAGTATTTTACTTGCACAATTGCTATTCACGGGTTTCTCAGACCAGAAGATTTATCTGGGTTTATTAACTGGAGACTGAGAATTGATTCACATAATAATATAACAGAATAACAGAGTTGGAAGGGACCTTGGAGGTCTTCTAGTCCAACCCCCTGCTCAGGCAGGAGAAGCTATACCACTTCAGACAAATGGTTGTCTAATCTCTTCTTAAAGACCTCCAATGATGAAGCACCCACAACTTCCAGAAGCGAGCAGTTCCACTGGTTAATTGTTCTGTCAGGAAATTTCTCCTTAGTTCCAGGTTGCTTCTCTCCTTGATTAGTTTCCATCCATTGTTTCTTGTCCTGCCCTCTGGTGCTCTGGAGAATAACTTAACTCCCTCTTCTTCTTTAGGGCAGCCCCTCAAATATTGGAACGTTGCTATCATGCCCCCCGCCCCTAGTCCTTTTCATTTCATTCATAAACTAGACCCGTGGTGTATTCAGCCGGTTCGCACCAGATCGAGCGAACCGGTAGCAAGAATTTGGCGTGGGTCGCGGGCTGGCCACGCCCCCGACCCGGTTGCCCTCCCGCCTGATGCTCGCTCACCCCACCCGTCTGACATTCACCTAAGGGATTTCTTTTTTTTTTTTCCCCTCCCGATAATCAGCTGTAGATAAGATCAGCTGTGCTGGGATTCCCCTTGCTGAGGCCCAGGAAGGCAAAAAAATGGAGGGAGGAGTTCAGCCCACCCCCTCCATTTTTTGCCTTCCAGACCCCCAGAGGAGCCTTAGGGGAGCAAATATGCCTCCCCAGAGGCTCTTCTGAGGCTAGGAAGCTCCCAAAACGGAGCTTGGAGGGGTGCTGCGTGCCCCTCTCATGCTCCGTTTTTTTTCCTTCCTGAGCTTTAGAAGAGTTTTAGGGGAGCAAAAATGTCCCCAGAGGCTCCTCTGAGGCTAGGAAGCTCCCCAAAATGGGTGGGGGGGCTGCAAAAAATAAAAGCCACACCCACCCAGTCACATGGCCACACCCACCAAGCCACACCCACAGAACCGGTAGTAAAAAAATTTGAATCCCAACACTGAGCTAGACACACACAATTCTTTATATGTTTTAGCCTCCAGTCCCATAAACATCTTGGTTACTCTTCTCTGCACTCTTTCTAGTGTCTTTTCTTTACATTTGTGGCGATCAAAACTGGATGTAGAATTTCAAGTGTGGTCTTATAAAGCACCTCATGTGATCTTGATTTGATCCCTCTATTAATGGAGCCTAGAACTGTATTGGCTTTTTTGGCAGCTGCAGCTGCACCATATTAGAAATTTTTTAAAAAAAAGGAGAGGTGGAAAAGCAGGGAATAGTGACTGTTCCACAGGAGGAATTGAGTTGTACACTAAGCCTAGGTTTCCCAACCTTGGCAAGTTTAAAGTGTGTGGACTCCACCCCCCAGAATTCCCCAGCCAGCATATGTGTAATATCATATCACACCGCCCCCCCCCCCAACCCACAGCAGCTCTGAATAGGGAAACTATTCAGGAAAACTACAAGGGAAAATGCAAGCTAAAATTGTTGGTATCAGGGAATGATCCCGACTTGTTTCTTACCAGATTCAGAGATATCGTCCCAATAGGGAGAGTCAAATTCATATTCTGCTTTCAGAATTTGCTCAAACAGCTTGGAGTCATTTTCGTCATAGAATGGAGGGTAGCCACAGAGCCTGAAACCCAAAAATTAAAAATTATTTTTTAACAAATTAAAAATGCGCTAAGTCACAGGGATACTGGAGGAAGCAAGGTGGCAATCATTTCAAAATTTGAGAATTGATAGGATTCTGTTCCTTAGATTGAATCCAAGATAGAAGTGGGATTCAGCCGGTTCTGAACCGGTAGCAGAAATTTTGAGTAGTTCAGAGAACCGGCAAATCCCACCTCTGACTGGCCCTGCCCCCATGTATTATCCGCCTCCCATTGAGTCCCAGCTGATTGGCTGGGTCTCCTTTGGTTGCCCTGCACAGGAGAACAGAGCTGGAAAGCAGGTTAATGGGTTGGGGAGGGAATGGAGATTTTGGAGTATCCTTTCCCTGCCACGCCCACCAAGCCACGCCCACAGAACCGGTAGTAAAAAAAATTTGAATCCCACCACTGATCCAAGAGATCTCTTATGAGCATATCTGGTTCTGATACACCTACAAAGATTTTTGTTTTGAGCTTTTCAAGCATCCAAAGAGACACCCAGATACGGCGTATTCCTCCAACGTGTTAATGAATCTTTTTTTTTTAAAGATTAGGAAGAGATTAGAAATGTAAGAAATATCTTGTTTTATGTCTATGGAAATTCTCAGCCATTCAGGTCTTAGTTGTCCCAAAGGTGCTTTTCCCCCAAAAAGGCAACTGGACTTCCTTGGTTTCTCTTTGAAGACGTTTTGCTTCTCGCCCAAGAAACTTCTTCCATTTCATCCTCCACCATTCTGTCAGAACCGAAGAAGCTTCTTGGATGAGAAGCTAAAGGTCTTCAAGGAAAACCAAAGTGTGGTTGTCTTTTGAAAAAGCAGATGTGGGGAGACCCGGCTCATAGAATTGTCAAGAGTTGGACACGATTGAATGGATAACATTGTCATCATTATTGGATCTTCCATTTCATATTTCCATAGCTTGGTGCTAAACTAAATTTCTATTCAATATGGTCTCACTCATGACCTGTTCCAACCTGGATGCTCCCAATAAAAGTGTCAGGTTCCAAGTAATGCAATCATCATAAAACAAACTCAGAGGCATTGTAATTCCTCAAAGAACTATTTTATTTAATCACACATCTTGGCACTAACTGGTGGAAGCCAGTACTTGAAAGTTTCCCGGGCTTCCATGTCACTATAACTAAAAGGTTCTCATTTTTCCAAAACAATAAGTCACATTGTCCAACCAGGATATAAAATAGTTTCCTGGCAACTTTGCTCCTCTTTTCTCTGGCCAAGCAGCAATTGGAATGCAGCTGACTCATCACTCAGCTATATTGTTTTGGCTGGAGCTTCCTCCACCTCAGGTCTCCCTCCCTTCCAGTCCTCAAGTGTGTCAAAGTGAATTCACAGATTCCATCACCAAATTAAATTCAGGCTTGATAAAAAGTTCATTCCAGAGTAGATTTGTGATACTACTTACAGAATATAGGCAATCACTCCAATGGACCAGCAGTCTACTGCTTTGCTGTAGGGTTTCTGGGCAAGGACTTCAGGAGCTGCAGGAAGGAAAGAGGAAGGGAGAAAAATCAATCAACGAGAGAACATTCAATGAAACTGGCCAACATCCAACCAAGAACTCAAGGCGTGCTCACTGCAGCATGCCCTCCACTCTGTCCAATTGCCAACGTGCAAGAGATGGAGAGAACAGACAAACTCTGAAGTCTTTCTTTCCTTTCCATATCTGTGCACATGGAATTCTGGGTGCAAGCAACAGATACAACAACAACAATGAAGTTCCAAATCTTTTTTTTCCAACTCATGATCTAGTCATTGTAAAAGAAAAAAAAAACCAGCTTTCAATTTTATGTTAGTTTTAAGAATCTTTTGCTTTATACAATGAATCTGAGCCCAATTCTCTCTCTTCCCTTTCCTTTCACACTTCCCTTCCTTCCTTCCTTCCCCTCCCTTCAATTCCCTTCCCTTTTTCCTTCCTTCCTTCTCTTCCTCTTCCCGTTCCAGATATGGGGTTCTTTTGAAACCAAAGAAGGAATAGAATATAATCAGGGTCCACAAAAGAGGGGCAAGAATGATGTGGAAGATGGAAGCTAATAAGACCACTGCATCTAAAATGAGCAGGAGTTAAGAGTTGACTATTTGATAAGGGGGGAGGGAATGAAGAATCAGGATGGAATCAGGAACTGGAACCAGTAAATTCCAGTTCAGAAAATGTTATTGCTCATGTTTATACACACAAGAATCTGGGTCAGGGTCAGCACTAAATTGGTGCTTGATAAGAGTCAACAGAATTCAAGATAGGCTGCACTGACTTAGAGCATTTGTGGCCAAGTAACGATTCTAAGCTAAGTCCTCTCTTGACGCCGCCCCCAGTCCCTGCCTTTTCTTCTCCTACAGGAAGCCATCCAATTGTTAATGGATATGAGCCACTCTGATTGCCTTCTTTTGGCTTCATCCCCATTGCTCTCTGTTTGAAACATTCCTTTATTTTTAAATGGTGAATCATACCGACACCCTCGTAAATCAACATCTGACAATTCAGTGGACTGTTAATAAAAAGAGGAGAGTGGGGAGGGAAGGAAGCCTCCTCATGAAAACCAGACACAAATCTTTGGGAAAGTTAGAAAAGAGGTGATTTATTCTAATTTAGTGAGTGGTTGGAATCTGGATAATTTTTCAATAGATAGGCAGGATACCTGGCTCTTTGCTATATGAAAGTTGGGGGTGGGAATCATGTCAAATCCCACACAGAGAGGTATGGCATAATCCAACAGGCAGATTTATCTGTGTTAAGAGCTTAAAAGAAACTTGATACTTATTCCTTGCAGATAGATTCTATATATTCCTTCCTACTGCCCCTGAGCCTCAGGGCCTCAATATTTCATAAAGCTAACACATCTAAAGTACAAAGGTCCATGAGGTCAATTTTGAGGAGAGAACTTGACTCCCCATAGACCAGTGTTTTCCAACCTTGGCAACTTTAAGATGTGTGGACTTCAACTCCTTGAGATGTTTCTCAACGTTGGCTATTGTAAGATGAATGGACTTCAACTCCTTGAGATGTTTCTCAACATTGGCTATTGTAAGATGGGTGGACTTCAACTCCTTGAGATGTTTCTCAACATTGGCTATTGTAAGATGGGTGGACTTCAACTTCTTGAGAAGTTTCTCAATCTTGGCAATTGTAAGATGGGTGGACGCCAACTTCTTGAGAAGTTTCTCAATCTTGGCGGCTTTAAGATGGGTACACTTCAACTGCTAGAATTCTCCAATCAGCGTTGCTGCGGAATTCTGAGATTTGAAGCCCACAAATCTTAAAGTTGTCAAAAGTTGAAAAACCACCACCCTAGGCCTAGACTAACACCTGGAACCCCGTGTCTATGGAATAGGATGAATCTGCTCATGTATTATTTGCATCTTTGCTCCTAAGTCAGGAAAAAGACTTAAACAGATCGGAAAGGCTTAGAAAGATTGAAAAACAGATCTTTTAGCAGAAAATTGGGAAAAAACTTGTCCCTGAATGGAACTTTGAATTTGACATATAATTTGAACATGGTTAGGGGTTAAGGAAGCCTCCATCTTTGCATAAGCACATCTGCATAATAATAATAATAATAACAACAACAATAATAATAATAACAACTAGTGATTTGTGATACAAAACCCAGCATAGTTATCTTGTTTGTTGTGTACACTGACATTTTTTTGTGTATAATATTAATTTTTGTGTATAATAATATTAATCAGTTCTGAAAGTGTTTGAATTGGCTCAGTATTTGTACATCTCTTGCCTACCAAAAGTGCTAACTTTAAAAAATTTGCTGGAGGAAATGAACATACAAGGGGGGAGGGGAACAGATATTTTTGCTACAAGATCTCATTCTATCTTCCTCAGAAAAGGGACTGGACTGGATGTATTTTGTGCTCTTCCATTCTTCTGACCATTTTTATATCATAAGAAAGACAGTAATTTATGCAAGGGCCATTCTCAGTAATAAACATCCCTGAATAAAATCGAGATAAAGAATGTGAGCAAATGGGGAAAAAGCAAAGTGTTTGATTCAGAGACCAGAGTGAAGATACAGCCCTGGCCGGCAAAAGGAAATTATAACTGCGGTAGAGGTTATCTTAGACACTGCTCATTATACCGTGCAAGTTTTTTTTTTTTAATAATGAATTTCTTTGTCAGCAGTATTTTGGCAAGAAAGAAATGTGGTGAAATTGCCTGTCAAAACGAAAGGGCGAACCTGCAGGAAGAAAATCAAAAGGTCCAGCAAGGTTCTGCTGAAATACAAATGATTGGCATCCCTCTACACTTTGGGGGTGGTGGTGGAGGATTGGAGCACACCTGAGAACAGGATGGTTGAATGCCAGCAAATGTCAAAAAATGAGAATACATCCATCAAAGGTGCAATTCGATGGAAATACCATCCGAAAGTATTTTATGTCAACTATGCAATTATGTTTTAAAAAGTCTCCCAAACTACGAAATCCGTTAACTTAAAAAGGCAAGACTTTTAAAAAGGGAGTGTGTGACTTGGTAGAGCTCGATCAATAATAGAGGGAAAAGTATATAATTATCCATGTTTTCCTGAAAATAAGACCCTGTCTTATATATTTTTTGCCACCGAAAAAGGCACCAGGTCTTATTTTCGGGGGACGTCATCCACTGACGAACCTCACTTGCGTGCGTCGCCCCTGGCCTCCTTTTCACTGTCTGAGGCCTTCAGGAACGTCTTCTTCTGTGGCCAGCAAGCCTTTCCTGAAGGCCTCTGCAGCCAATAACAGAGCTCTGGATCGATCCTGAACTTTGTTCTCAGCTCCAGAGGCCTTCAGGAAAGCCTTGCTAGCCTTGCCGGCTGCAGAAGAAATGGGCCGGCAAAGCAGGTGTCGGGGTGTGCGAGGCCTGGCTACAACTGTCCATAGGTAAGTAGTAGGGCAGCTCCACACATACACCATCCTCACCCTAGCTTAATTTTTACCTGTCCATTCTGGAGTGGGCGGGATCTTAATTAGGGCTTATTTTGGGGGTAGGGCTTATATTGGGCACTGGTGTAAAAATCAAGCTAAGACTTACTTTCAGGGTAGGTTGTATTTTCGGGGAAACAAAGTAATAACTGTAAATGAAAGATAATCTTCTAAATTACAAGCAGTTCTTGACTTACAACATTTATTTAGTTTTTCACAGTGACGCTCTTTGCAGGGTTCCCATGATCACATGATCCAAACTCAGATGCTTGGCAACCACCTCATATTTTTGACTGTTGCAGTGTCCTGAGGTCATGTGATCCCCTTTGGGGACCTTCTGACCAGCAAGGTCAGATGGGGAAGCCAGATTCACTTAACAACTTAGAATAACTCGATGGCCACTTTGAATTGACATAATCGGCCTACATTAAAATGAAATTTTGTTGCATGCAGTCGTCAAAGGCCTCACCTCCAATCGATGCGACATAAACACAACAAAATAAATAAATACCAAATTATGCATACATCCAGATATATTATATGACACGGAGAAAGAAATGTCTCACTTAACAACATCAGCTTTGGGCTCCATTGTGGTCACAAATCAAGGAATAACTGTAGTTTCTTTTCCTGAAATGGCCTTTTTATTGGAGAATATAAGCAGAATGTCAGCATTCCGGCAGTGACCCCCATTTAAATCATGAGTCTCGAGCCAAGCTTCCAAAACTTCAAAAGAATTTATTGGGAGTTAACATGTCCAGCACTGCTTGGCTGTAGCCGACTCTGAGACACATCATTCCTTGTCACCCTTGAACCTAGTTCCCCCCATTCCCTGGGTGTATCATCATTCATGTCCTCCAATGGGACACCTCCATAGCCCAGAGTCATCAATCATGCTCTCCAGTTAGAATTTTGCTCAGCAGAAACTTCAGTCACCTAGTTACAATCTTTGAAAACATTTATGGAATGCACTTTCAGTTTCCAAGCTGCTGCACTGCTCCCCTCTCCCTTTCTGTTGGCAACTCTAAAAAGACCAGATAAATATTTTATGAGTTGACACTGAATTTTAAAATGATTCCGTACACCAGTTGAATTTAAGCATCTGTACCATTTAATTCCGCAGCTAAAGTTCCTTATTTGTACCTAATTTGTCAGTGCCATTTAATATTTATTAACTATTTTTTTAAAAAAATACTCTCATGAATCTACACCAACCACCATTTAATTTGTCTCTGCATGGTACATAAATAGAATAGAATAGAAAATAATAGAAGAGGACACAGAATAGAATAGAATAAGATAGGATAGGATAGGATATTGGAATGAAGAATAGAATAGAATAGAATAGAATAGAATAGAATAGAATAGAATAGAATAGAATAGAATAGAATAGAATAGAATAGAATAGAATAGAAAATAAGAGAACAGGATACAGAATAGGATAGGATAGGATAGGATAGGATAGGATAGAAATGAAGTCTTTATTGGCCAAGTGGGATTGGACACACAAGGAATTTGTCTTGGTGCAAATGCTCCCAGTATACATGAATAGAAAACCTTTTAAAGATTATACTTTGTCTCAACTTTTACTTTATTGGCCACTTAATCAAATGGTTCCTTGACCAGTCAGATGCCAAGTTACCACACCAGAAAACAAAACAAAACAAAACAAAAAAATTCTTTTTAGGGCTAGATTTCAGAGAGGTGAGGAATTTTGCCGTCTTCACTTTCAACACAAGGGTTTCAATTTATAGATGCTTTTACAATGCGGGAGATGGGCTTTCTCTCCATGAAAAGGAAAGTAAAATTATATGCCTGGGAAAATTAAGTAAATGCTGATAATTGGACGGATGTCCCTGGGACTCAAAAGGTCTACTTCTTCTGGAGGAAGAAACAGTGAGAGAAATAATCAAGGCTCTCGTTATGGGTATTGTAGCAATGGAAAAATCTTGCCAAGGGCATAATGTAAAAAGTCCAGCATCGTTGTCAAGGCTTTGTCCCACGTTGCCTGGGTAACAAGCCACAGAAGGATGGAGAAGAGCTGGCAGGCACTGGAAATTAAATAAAACATAAGCCATGTTTCAACCGCTGAATAAAGTTATTGACAGCGGAGTCTATAGATCCACCCAAGTGAATGACGAGTGAAGAAGCTTGTTCAAAGAAAATTGGACACTGTATGGTGACCTCAAGGATGAGACTTCAAACTAGAATAGAATTGGAAGGGACCTCGGAGGTCTTCTAGTCCAACCCCTTGCTTGAGCAGGAGACTCTATAGCAGGGATGAGATTCTACCGGTTCAGACCGGTTCTATAGAACCGGTTTTATGATTCTGCGCAGTTTGGAGAACCGGCAAATCCTGCCCCTGGCTGGCTCCTCCCCTCTCCACCTGCCCCTCCCCTCCCAGTCATTCCTTATCCTGCGTACACAACATTGCACAGATGCCCGACATTGCTAGCTGCATTCTCCCCTGCCCAGTCACTCCTTAAGGTTTTTTCCCCCCTCCCGATGATCAGCTTATTGTACCCTATGACTATCATTGTGTTGTACCTGAGGATTCTTGATGAATGTATCTTTTCTTTTTATGTATACTCAGTTGAGACTCTAGAAAGAGTGCTGAGAAGAGCAACCATGATGATTAGGGGACTGGAGGCTAAAATGCACAAAGAACTATTGCAGGAATTGGATATGTCTAGTACAGAGAAGAGAAGGACCAGGGATGACATGATAGCAGTCTTCTAATATTTGAGGGGCTGCTACAAAGAAGAGGGGGTCAACTTATTTTCCAAAGCACCTGAAGGCAGGACAAGAAGGAATGGATGGAAACTAATCAAGGAGAGAAGCAACCTAGAACTGAGGAGAAATTTCCTGACGTAAGGACAATTAATCAGTGGAATGACTTCCCTTCAGAAGTTGTGAATGCTCCATCACTGGAGGCTTTTCAGAAAAGATTGGACAACCATTTGTCAACAATGGTAGAGGGTCTCCGGTTTGAGTAGAGGGTTGCATTAGAAGACCTCCAACTCGGTTATTCTGGATTTTAAAGGCTGCTAGTAAAACTTCCTTTTAGGTTCATAAAATACAACTCTAGGTTAAAAAAAACAAAAACCCAGCATCTTCAATTTCTCAGCTTATTATTATTTTTTCATTGTTGTTCTCTGAAAGCTGCTGATGAAGCATTTTTCTTTGGCCATGCATTGGTGCCCAGAATAACAATGAAAATCTGGTTTCCAGCCTTTTAAAAGCTTATCTAAATGTAAATGCACAGAGTCAAAAGAGGGTAAGAGGAGGAAAGTGAGCAGCCTAGATGAGATGTGTTCGGCTATTTATACTCAGCTTTAGATTCTGCAGCTTGTGAGGACTGCGGCTTAAGGACAATGCTGGATTTGTTGAAGAAATGATCAGGGGGCTGGAGGTTAAAACATACAAAGAATGGTTACAGGAACTGGGTATAATCCAGTCTAGAGAAAAAAAGGACCAGGGGTGACATGATAGCAATCTTCCAGTATTTGAGGGGCTGCCACAAAGAAGAGGGGGTCAAAAGATTCTCCAAAACCCCAGACAAGGCAAGAAGCAATGGATGGAAACTCATCAAGGAGAGAAGCAACCTGGAATTAAGGAGAAACTTCCCAACAGTGAGGACAATTAACCAGTGGAACAGCTTGCCACCAGAGGTTGTGGTGGCTCCATCACTGGAGGTTTTTAAGAAGAGACTGGACAGCCACTTGTCCAGAATGATAGAGGGTTTCCTGCTTCAGCAGGGGGTTGGAATAGAAGACCTCCAAAATGGACTTTCCAAGTCCATTTTTCTATGTTCCATGGTTACCACTAAACCCAGCCATTCTTATTTCCTAATTAGGTCCCTTTATTATAGAATGTTTATTAATCCTTTCCAAAGCAGAAATAACTATCCCAAATCATATAATTCAAAGCTTCTACAAGGGAGAAGGATGGGTTTTCGGATCAAATGTATAATAAATCATCCATTTCTTCAAAAGCAAGCAACGGTGACCAATCTGGGTTTCCTCTCTAGACAATCTCTGGCTTTCACTCTCTGAGGTTTTGGGGAAATGGGTTTTGTATAACTCTTCAATGGGCAACCTAGAAGCAACAGCAAATCTTCTGGGAACATTTGCAGATAGTTGATCTGGTGCTTTTGTTATTCAGTAGGATGTTTCTAACATCAAAATATAGATCAGACCTAAAAGATAAAGATTCCAAGTTGATTTTCAATCTTTTGGTGATTGCAGATGTGTACTTTCTCCTCCTCCTTTTCTCCTCCTCCTTCTCTTCCTTCCCTCCTCCTCCTCCTCTTTTTCTTCCTCTTCCTCCTTTCTTTCTCCTCCTCCTCTTCTTCTCCCTCCTTCTTCTCTCCTCCTCTTCCTCCTCCTCTTCTTCCTCCTCCTTTCTTTCTCCTCCTCCTCCTCCTCCTTTCTCCCATCTTTCTAATTTAGACAGAAATTCTTGGTTGGTTTCTTGTTGGTGGTCTCCACCAATTCGTAACAAGATTTAACTGAGCCTCTGAGCCAGAGAAGATTGGTCATGGTCTGCCATTTCAGGTAACCAAAAGACAAAGCCCATTGACCAAACCAATATTGTTACCAGAACAAATGAGTCCTTTAAGAAGAGAATTCATTTTAATAGGTATCCTAAGAGTTCAGGAAGCAGAAAGACAAAATGAGGATTTAGGTTTAAACAGAGGAAAAACATGTTTGTTTTTGTGGACATCTACCTGGGTAAAGACTAGGATTATCTTCTGGGCAGTTTTCAAAATACCAGCATATCCATCCATCTCAGACATGGGGGAAAAATATCTTTGAGCTCAAAGATAGGTTGACAAGAGGCCTTTCATAATCAATTTAATGCAAGGAAGACTAAACAGTATTCTCAATAAACCCACCTTGTATTCCATAGCTCCTGGCGCATCCTTTGGGCATGGGAACACAAAGAGAGAAACCTGGCCCTTTATAATTAATTAAAAAGTGAGATATGTTAGGGGGACCCTGTAGGGATAACCTAATGTCAACTTGTAAAACATTTCCAGGCCTGTATCCAAGTTGCCATAAGAAAGAGGGAGGTGGGAACCTGAAACAGCATACGGCAAATGAATTCAGAAGCACATTCCAACCTTATCTCAAAAAGATTGTAGCTAAGTTACTGGAGCTTTTGCCCATGAAATTCCTTAACTGCAGAATGTGATTGATGACACTCAGTGCTTAATTGGAGAATCTGATTTATGACACACCCAGGGGGAAACAGGGTCACAGGGGACTGTAAATTACGTATGCCAGAGTTGGCTTCATACAGGTCATGCCAGTATGTCGCTCTAATAAATTCTTTGAAGTTTTTGAAGTTTGGCTCGAGGCTCATGATTTAATTAGGGCGATCACTGGAATACTGACACCTACAGTAACTGGCTTTGCTAAAATAGCACACATGAGGAAATGGGGCTAATAGGCTATTTTCTAAGTCTTGCACTTACCAACGTATCCTGGGGTACCACAGGCTGTGGACATGACATCCCCTTTCCCCTCCATTTTGGACAATCCAAAATCACTGATCATGATTTTAGAGTCTTCATCCTGGCTGTAGTATAGCAGATTTTCAGGCTATAGGGAGAGTAAGAAAAAAAAAAACATGATGTGAGAAGGGATGATAGAAGAATATAGATTTTTGAGTCAGATAAGATCTGTGTCTACTTTGCATCTCATCCCCCCAACATAAAAATATGTTTAAAATCTTGGCTGGCCAGGGCTGCAGCACTGATTTACCTTAATAAGAAACAAAATGGAGCTAATGAGTTAAACCCAATTAAACAAAATGGAGTTAAAGAGAAATGCATCTTGAAGAGACGTGCCAGAGAGAGACTATCTTAGCAGTTGCAATGGATTAAACTACACTTACTGAAAATAATTTTCAAGTACCTTACTAAGCATGCTCTTTGCCTGGCTTCAACAGACTGAGATGATTTCTGTGTGTAGGCTCACAGCAAGAAAACAGCTAATTGGATTCTGCTAATAAAACTAATAAATTCAGCTAATAAAACAGGTAATTGAACTCTGAACTCTGAAGTGTGGATCTGGATGTTTGCCCCTGAAATTAATAATCTTAGGCTCATGGTTTGTTTGCACCTGGGTGAGACTAGATAAATGGCATTCATGGGGACTTTGCTCTCTTGTGCCCACATAGAGATTCTAGACTAAGTCCTTGTTTGACTCCTTCCCCAGGCTCAGCCAGTCTCTCTCTTACATTCCTCCTCCAATTAAATAATAACAATCAAGAAATTAGGTTTGAAAAGGAATATTGAGGAAGAACAGGTTGGATCATGTCCTTTGTAAGTGAGCCAAACATGACAATGATGGTGAAAAGATCATATAGATTGACTCTTGATATTCATCTACAGCTTGTCTGACTAGCAAAATTTGCAAGCATCTAAAATATTAAAACTGGGTAATGAAAGCAAGTATATTTGGAGGGAGGTACTGGTCTCTTTTGCTAATATTATTGGAATAAGTCAAAAGATTTCTGTGCAATTGCTAAAGGGTTACATTAATTTGGAATCTGCCAATTTGTGGATCTAGGACATACTGTTCTGGATCATACCAACGTCTTTCAAAGCTTTCCGTGCCCAGAATACCTCAAACTCTTTGTGGTTTTGGCAAATTCACTTCCATCAATTGACTAAAAGGCCTCAATACTAAATTTTATGGTCTGGAGGAAAACAGAAAATTTCAGAATGCCTCCAGGGTGCTCTGCTTCCAGATTGATGAATTCTATAGATCTCTAAAATAAGTGCAAATCCAGTTCCAGAGTGATAAAGCAGCCTTTGAAATGTGCTCTTATTAATTTCATTAACATCTATGGTAATACAATGCTTTCCTTAATAGAGGCACTTCTGCTATGGCAGTTTTCAATCAATCAATTCTTATTTGTGCTCAAAGAAAAGAAGATAATCAGGTGCATTGTTACATTGGCTAGGAAGTGAGCAATTTTGCTGATTTGAGATCAATCGACATACATATTTAAATGAGAGAGAAAGAGAGGAGGGACAGAAGGAGGGAGAGAGAGAGAGGAGGAGGAGGGAAGGAGGGAGGGATGGAGAGAGAGAAGGAGAGAAAGAGGAAAAGATATTTTCAGTAACATTAGAAACAGGCTTGTCAAAACGTTTATACAAATTCCTATCATAATTTAATATATTCCTTTTACAAATGTGTGTTCCAGGCAGGGAATTCCAGGAAATGGCAAGGAATGTAATTTAATATTGCCACATTCCTTGGTCCCCAAACCAAGCTGATGTGAGGAGTTATACCACCATTTAAGGCAACAAAACATCGTATTATGTGGGGGGGCGGGGAGTGGGGCTTTGTTTAATATTCACGCGAGACAAGAACATTAAAGAGATTCACACAACTGTTATTTATGGGATCGCAATTATTTTATTGGTGTGTGTCTATGTGTGTGTCTGTGTATGTTGCATTTTTATTAGCTCTGCACCTGTCCTTGGGGAAACATGCTTTGCAATGCACGAGGGTGCTTGTGAACACCTCTTTTCTCATGGTTAAATTAGAAATGGTTTAATTTGATGGTTGTTAAAGCAGCCATGTCTTCTCCCAGGCTCCCACACTTCTGTGAAAGTTATTCTGGGCTCTGTCTACCTGTATGCACCTGTATAGCTTTTGAAGAAAGTCCACCAGAAGTTGCTTCAAAAGCAGCCATATATAAGAGACATGGCTGCTTTTGTTCTGGCCAAGGCTTCCTGAAACCGTAACAATCACAAGCTGTTCCCAAAAACTTTTTAAAAATTATTTCAATGGCTGTGAATTATATGCATTCACAGCCCGTAATGAGTCCCAAACAGTTTGTGAATAGTCCAAAAGAGGTCTGCCACATTCCTTCGGGATAAGGCTGATAAGCACCCACCTTTATCTCCCTTGAAATGCTGCCAATGACTAAATTGCCAATTAGCTCTACAAGGCCAAACAGAGCACAAAGTCAACATGAAGCTTCAGAGTTTAAATCGACCAGAACGAACAAAGTCGCTTCCTTCAAAGGCTCCTGTCCCTTTGCTCCTCCATTATGTCTTATGGGAGGGGCCAATCTCCTCCAAGCCTTACTCCCGAGTCGCCCCTTTTGTCTTAGCTGCCCTTGCCTTCTGGCAGCTCTGCACATGGGTGCACTGGGAACAGGCTCCCCTTGTTCCTCTGCCTCGCTGCTGTCAGATTCTGGAGGCTCCAGAATCAGCACATAACTCCCAGATGGCGCTGGCCCCATCTCTGTCTCAGACACAGGCTCTCATCTGAGTCCTCCCCAGACACTCGGACTGGCCCATGCTCCTCCCCACTGTCTGACTCTGCTGCCAGCTTCGCAGGCCACCGGTGGAACACAACAGCTTTAAAGATATCAAAATATCACCACATTATAAAAAAAGATGTTGAGAGTCTGGAAAGCATGCAGAGAAAAGCACCGAAGATGATTAGGAACCTGGAGGCTAAAACATAAGAACGCTTGCAGGAACTGGGTGTGTCTAGTCTAGTGAAGAAAAGGACTCGTGGTGACATGATAGCAGTCTTCCAACATTTGAGGGGCTGCCCAAAGAAGAGGGAGTCAAGCTATTCTCCAAAGCCCCTGAAGGCAGGACAAGAAGCAATGGATGGAAACTAATCATGGAGGGAAGCAACCTAGAACTAAGGAGAAATTTCTTAACCCTGAGAGCAATCAATCAGTTGAATGGTTTGTCTTCAGAAATTGTGGCTACTCCATCACTGGAGGCTTTTAAGAAGAGACTGGACAGCCACTTGTCTGAAATGGTAGAGGGTCTCCTGCTTGAGCAAGGGGGTTGGACTAGAAGACCTCCACGGTCCCTTCCAATGCTGTTATTCTCTTGAATTATGGAGCTTCTCCTTTGGAGCGCCCTGCTATGCTTCCCCTACTTCTTACAAGTGCAATGAGAAAATTGATATATTTGAATTGATTTTTCTCCTCTGCTTAGCTCACCCTGCCTTATATAAGCAATTCCCTACAAATTCTGTTGTTTCAGCAGAAGATTGACTTAGCAAAAGGTGATACATCTAAGCCGCCTATTTTGGCTTTACACTTCAATGGCTGACTTAGCAAAAGTGCTAAGCAGTTAATGACCAAGCTGAGTGGACAAGTAATAATTTATGCACTATTATCTTTCACTCTCAAACAACCAAGAAATAAAAGGGAATTTTAAAGTCTTGTTTTCATACCAAGGCTCCAAACTTTGACAATTACAATTGCATGTAAATTACTGTACAGGGATAAGATGGTGGATGGACAAGTAGAAAGATATTAGAAATGCTGTTCATTCTGTTCATATATAGCAGCGCAGAGCAAACAAAGGGCACAGCCACCATGTGCTTTACTACTCAACTATTTAACTGTAAAAGGAAACAGGAAACTCTACTTAGAACAAAAGAGAATAGGGTATATATCATAGATCCAAACTTGTAAACACGGGCATCTACTGACTGAATACTACTGTAGATGTTGCCAACAATGCATTACAACAAAAGATTAAGTTTTCCTAAAAAAATCGAAGTCAAGACTATAAGGCTCTTTAGAGTAGCTTGCATAGTAGCCATAGAGAAACTATCACAAATATTTATTCATTTATTTATTTATTTGTTTGTTTGTTTGTTTGTTTGTTTATTTATTTGATTTATGTATGGTTTTGCAACTTAATCCCAATCCTATGCTGGATTAGAATTTTGAGTTTTGTAAGTGGTTATTTTCTAGATTCGAGAAGGCTCAGATAACATCTATCTTGTTTGGGCGTGTGCCTTTGAGTCTGTTTTGACTTCTGGCAACTGCCTGGAACTAATCCTTCCTGTTTTCATGGCAAGATTTCAGAAGTGAGTTGCCATTGCTTCCTTCCTAGGGCTGCCATTGAGTGACTGGCCCAAAGCCAGCCAGCCAGCTCTGTGACTAAGGTGGGACTAGAACTCACACTCTCCCGGTTTCTACCCAGATGCCTTAACCACTATACCAAACTGGCTCTGAGATATAGCAATGAAGAATAACTGTAGCTCAGGGTTGCAATGAGAGGTCCTTGGTGCTCTCTGCTTTCTTGTAGACATTTCATTACCCAACTAGCACTGATGACGTTACCTAAGGTGGTAATGAAACGCCTGCGAGCAAAACAACCAAGCTCAGAGAGCACCGAGGGCCCCTCAGTCCTTCTCTTCTTCCACTCTGTAAACTCTACTCCTTCTAGCACTGATGATGTTACCTAGTTTGGTAATGAAACGTCTGCAAGAAAGCCACCAAGCTCAGAGAGCAGCAAGGGCCCCTCTGAGATATATATCTATGGTGCTATCAAATTTTAAATACCTTGAGGTCTCTGTGAACAATGCCCATCCGGTGAAGATAATAGACAGCATCCAAGACTTGTCGTATCAGAGTGCTGGCGTCCTTTTCAGTATAAAATCCTTTCTCTACGATGCGGTCAAATAGTTCACCTCCAGACACTCTGAAAAACATCACCATGTACAGCAACATCAACAGACATCTTCATTGAACAAGTTAAAGAAACAATGATAGCATGGGCCAAATTTTTGGATATGCTATAGAATTTGATTAATGGCAGAAGTTATGGGACGGGAATAAATTACAAATTGACAATATCAACAGCATATAAAGAAAATTTGTATAAGACGTTTTGCAGATGGCAATTAGGACCAGCAAAACTAGCGAAAATGTTCAAAGATAAATCAACTAAATGTTGGAAATGTCATCAAACACCAGGAACATATCACCATATGTGGTGGACTTGTATAGAAGCTAAAAGATATTGGACCAAAATACACACATGGTTAGAAAAAATGATTAAACAACATATAGATTTGAAGCCTGAAATATGTTTATTAGGAGTGGTACCTGAAGGTCATAGTAAAGAAAAAAAACATATTTAACATGTATTAACAGCAGCTAGAATTGTATTTGCTCATAATTGGGAAAGTAATAAGATACCGATAGAGGGAAAAGTAATTGAAAAAATATTTGAATGTGCAGAAATGAATAGATTAACATTAGAAATCAAAGAAAAAGAAGAATCTGAATATTACATAGTATGGGACTTGTTTTACCAATGGTTAGAAAATAAAGGGGATTAGATTTATTTATAAAGCAATAAGAGAAACTAGCGTAATAGATATACTGGATATTACTTATATTATATATATATATATCGGAATGTGATATGGTTACATTGTTATATTGATAAGAAGAATGTTATTAGTAATTGTTAAGCACATGAAATATGTACCTAATGGACATACAATTGAAATAAAGCAATAAGAGATTTATTGTATGTAAAAAAAAAAAAATTTTTTTTTAAACCCAGACATCTTTGTTAGATAACCAGTTAGAACCCCAAACCCCCCAGATTCAAAGGAATCAAGACTCTTTAATCTTTCTCGTTTGAAGTGCATGCAACAAAATTACAACATGGAAGGGAGAAAAATTCATCTTTTATTTGAAGCCTGATCACATTTATTTCTGTACGTTTGCTTCAAACAGCTTTGAAGTGTGGGGAGGCCCTGGGTGCATTATATTCCCAATGTTTCTTAGAAAGAACCCATTCGTCTGTGGCATTTGCTAACTGGGACTTGAAATCCATGACTGTAAAATGTCAAGGCACTTCCTTGGAGAGAGAAAAAAAATCAGAAAATAACAAGAGCATCTTTTTAAAATGATCCAGTCCAATTCCAGAATTTGAGGGGTCTTTCTAATGAAATGTCTCTTCTGAACCTTACCATAATGCTTGCAACTATTGAATTATTGAAATCACTTCATGTTCAATAACCATTGGATACTTTAAGAACACCCAGAGAAAGTGTGACAACTCTAAAATGAATTTCAGGAAGGCAATAATAAGCTGCTCACTTTTCTGCTCAAATTCTATCGTTAGATGAAAGAAAAGAGAAAGGAATTTATCCTAAATGTGCTGTCCCAGCCTTCCAGAGTTACTAATGTCCTTGCAGTATTGCCAAATACTTCCCCCCGCCCCATTTTGTTTGCATTGGCCATCTATAACACAGGATAAAAGGGAATGTAGTCGTGCATGATCCACAAATATGAAATGACAATTTGCACGATGGTTTCCCTTAATTCCTTACAGGGAAACTGGTCTTGCAAAATTTTAACAGGATCTTTCCTTTACAGAAGACTAAATTTTGAATGTCTTCTGCTTCTTCTGAATTTGTAGACAGCGTGGATTAAAATTCTTAATCAGCAACCTGAACCGACAAAGCAGAGAAGCAACCTGGAATTAAGGAGAAACTTCCCAACAGTAAGAACAATTAACTAGTGGAACAGCTTGCCACAAGAAGTTATTGGTGCTCCATCACTGGAGGTTTTTAAGAAGAGACTGGACAGCTACCTGTCTGGAACAATACAGGGTCTCCTGCTTGAGCAGGGGGCTGGACTAGAAGACCTCCAAGGTCCCTTCCAGCTGTATTTTGTTTGAATAGCTTTAGCTGTTGGACAAATGACCTCACATTTGACTCTGGAATAATTTGGTAGACAGAGGAGTTCATGGTGAACTCAATGAATATTGTGAGCAGTTACTCCTTGGTGGCCAAAGATTGCCAGAAACACCATAATGAGAAGACATCATGTTTCTCAATCAATGTAACGTGCATCCCATTGGTCATTCAGAAATAACTGTACAAATAACATACTAAGGATTTACACAACTGTCTCCAAGAGACTACAAGGAGCAAGGGATCTTACTCATCTTGTGAGGCTATAAAACTGCCAGGAGGAGAAATTTAACAGCCCCAAACAGATTACCTAATGCTCCCCTCATTTCAAAAAGGAAATGGATATTAAACATCCATCATTTGTTGCATAAATCTTCTGCTTGGCATATGAAAATAACACGCCAAAACTTTCTATGAAAAAAAATATCATTATAGGATAGTAATACATTACCAAGAGCCCCCCCAAAAGACCCTTTGCTTTTCAACTCTACAGACAAGAGCCAACCCCCCCCCCCCCACAAAAAAAACACCCTACTATGAGAGCCAACATGGCAGTGAGTCAAAATTCAAGCCAGGAAATCGTCAGAAGGAAAATAAATCTGAGTTTCAAAAATCTCTAGATGATTTGCAGTGGATGGGCTGTTGACGTTTAACTGCCAAATGGTTTAAAAGGAAGATCAAAATTAGCTTCCTTTTTGCTGGACGGATAATACGCCATTGAAGTTCAGAGAAGTTTAGATTTAAACCCGAAAAAGCAAGGGCTCCATTCAGTTCTGAGCCATTAAATAAACTCCGGATCCAACCATTCGTCGGAATGAAAGATTATGTAGGAAACAATGAATGCTTCTGGCTGTCAAATGCCTGAATTTTAATTCCATGGCCAAGGGATTAAACGCTTTGATGGTCATAAATGCAAGAACCATGTGTAAGCTACTTTTTTCACCACCATCATAACTTTGAATGCTCATTAAATGAAGCATAAGGTAAGTTGAGGACTATGTGTAATGGCAGAACCTTGAAAACCTGGCTGTAGGAGAAGGAGTGGGAGAACTTGGAGGGTGGAGTTAAAAGAGGCATCAGTCTAGAATCTCTACGTCATCACAAATGAACTAAATCTGACCTTCCTTGAATTCCGATGACCCTTATCTACTCATAGCAAGTGCAACTTGGTAGTTGAGAAGATTCCTGCATATAGTTTTTTTAAAGAAATAAATCAGTTCAATTGAACCTTCACTTTTGGATCTGGTCTTTCACATCTGACACTGACTTGATGTTCTCTTTTGAGAAGAGACGACAACCATTCATCTGAAATGTATAGGGTTTCTTGCTTGTACAGTGGGTTGGACTAGAGGATCTCCAAAGTCCCTTCTGTTATTCTGTTTTTCCCCCACTTATACCCAAGAGACCTAAGATGGGGTAGCCTTGAGTTTCTTTCTCGTGCTTTCCTGTTTTCCCGGGGTAAGCTCTTTTTTTTTGCTAACAATATCTGTTTATCTTCTTCACCTCCACTTCTCTGTCCCTGGACAGCTTCTCTCTTTTGCCTCGTTGCTGTTTTCCCCTACTATTTCCATGTGGGTTGCACACCAATGTGTAGAGTTGCACACACCCTTGCAATTTCTCCTCACTTAGGCTGCGTCTTTCCAAGATCCTGATTTTTGGCTCTAATGAAGCACCTGTTCTAATGAAGCACCTGTTCTCTCTATACCTGCGGTGTTCCTTGCTGCCTATTTGCACATTACCTGGCCTCTCTCCCACTGAAATGAACAGATTTGGCTTAGCAGCTGCCACAACAGGGACTGGCCTGGATTTAGAAAGACCCCCGAGAAATATACAATTCAGGGATATGTGTTTTTTCCCTTCTTCTTCTCTAAAATGCTGGAAAGTTTCAATCCCCTAATTGATATTTAGTTGATACAAAGAAAAGTTAAAATATAAAGCACTAAAATATTTTTTAAAAGACAAAATAATTAAAAACAACAACAACAAAGAAGATATTAAAAAAAGGAAAGAAAAATGAAGACTAACACATATATTCATAACCTCCTCCCTAGCTAAATGCTGATTCATATAATACAGAATAACAAAGTTGGAAGGGATCTTGGAGGTCTTCTAGTCCAACCCCCTGCTCAAGCAGGAAACCCTATACTATCTCAGACAAATAGTTGTCCAATCTCTTCTTAAAAACTTCCAGTGTTAGAGAATTCACCACTTCTGGAGGTAAGTTGTTCCACTGATTAATTGTCCTCACTGTTAGGAAATTCCTCCTTAGTTCCAAGTTGCTTCTCTCCTTGATTAGTTTCCATTCATTATTTCTTCTCTTGCCTTCTGGTGCTTTGGAAATAGCTTGACTCCCTCTTCTTTGGGGCAACCCCTTAAATATTAGAAGACTGCTATCATGTCACCCCCCCCCCAGTCCTTCCTTCCTCTAGACTAGCCATACCCAATTCCAGCAAAAAACACAGCAGTGTTAAGTTTCCCACAGACCAAAAGAATTTTAAACTGTTTTAAACTGTTAGCCTGTCCTCTGTGTATACCCTTTTATTTTCAATTCTTGCGGCTTCATTTTCTCCATGGATGGAAGTGACTAGGTCAAAAAGGAACGAAAAAACAACCACGGTCCATTTCCATACTATAAATATTTGCACTCCCTTTCAAAGAAAATCTGTCGTTCATTGGCCTTCGACTGGAGATACTTAGGAGGAAAAAAAAACCCAAATGACCAGGGTCATTTTTCCTCCTTGATACAACCATTTGGCATGATTCATTTTTGTCCATAAACTATCATGAGACAGAAGAGTTATGGTTTTTTTTTTGTAGTAATATGGTGGAAAGTTGGGCAATGCCTATTTCCTTCCTCCTTCTTCCCCTGCCTCCAAAAAGAGGGGAGAACAAAGCTGCTTCTATATTCTGCTAAGGGAAAAAAGCGTCACTGCATTTTCAAATCCAAAGCAATGTTAAAAACTACTTTTTTTACGGCAAATTGGTG